ATTTTATATTTCCTCCAGAGTTAGTTTCATTAATTTGTCTTCCAAGGTACTTCTTAGAAGTTGTCAAATTTATTTCAGAAAAGATTTTTGTAATATGCTTTCTATATTCTTTTAAATTCTGTAAAATCTGTGATAATATCTCCTAGATCTTAATATTGTAATTTAAAAGATGTATAATTGACAGGGCCGGGGATTTAGTTCAGTGGTTCCACCACCTGCCTAGCAAGTGCAAGGACCCAAGTTCGATTGCCAGTACCAAAAAAAAAAAAAAAGCAATGTATAATTGATATTGTGTAATAGGAAGAAAGGTCCAAAGGAGCAGGAGAAGTGGGAGGGGTAGGGGAAAGGAAAAAAAAGGGAAAAGAAAAAAATATGAGAAGAGGAATAAAATGGAAACAAAGTCTTTGCAAATAGAGAAGGATGGAGGGGGTGAAGGGAGGGCAGGGTAAGGGGGAAAAAAAAAGAACCAAGATACTCATGTAAAGGTACAAGATCCCAATGATAAATGTAACTGTATTTTATACCTAAAATGTACCAATAAACTTAATGGGAAAAAAATAAAAACAAAAATAAATAAATAAATAAAAATCAAAGTGGTCATCGTGGAAACATCCCAGTTTTTCTGGGCTTCCTAGCACTTAATTTATGGTTTCTTTTTCTTGTTGTTATTACTAAAGAGGCACTCCATCAATATTTGTTGAATGAACAAGCTAGTAGAGAGGATTCTGAATGTTCTCAGCAAGAAGAAACGATAAATGTCTGAGGTGACAGAAATGCCAGTTACCCCAATGTGATCATCACACATTGCTTTTACATATTGAAATGTCATACTGTATCCCATAAATACATACAATACCATGTGTCATGGCTTGTATCTAGATGGCCCCCCAAGGCCTCATGTGGTCATAGGTGGGAAGCATTGAAGGTGGCTGTATTAGGGTGTATGATTATGGGATTAAGGGTGCTGCAAACTGGGGTGTGGGTGGCACCACTCAAAAGGCCAGTAGCCTGGATGGAATATAAAGGGACAGAAAGAAGCTGCTTTATTACTTTGCTGCTTGCTGCCTTCTGCCTATCCTGCTTTCCCATCGACTGTTTCTCCTCTGCGATGCCCCTCTGCCATCCCAACCTGCCTTGGAGCCAGCTGACTATAGACTGAAAGCTCTGCAAACTGTGAGCTGAAATAAACCTTTCCTCTTTTAACTCTGGGTGTCAAGTATTTTGTTTCAGCAATGAGAAAAGTAACTAAGACACCATATGTCAATTAAAAATAAAACATATTCTAAAAGCTGTATTGAATGAACAAGTAAATGATTCCCAGGCCTCTGGCTGTATAGTGGTGCCATTCATTGAGAGAAAGAACAGAAAAAAATGAGCAAGTCTACAAGGAGAGGAAGGTGGGCAATCCCTCCTACCAAGAGAGCAGACATCAGGGCACTCTGGCTTCTTCTGGGAACTCAAGGCCCTGAGCTAGCTTAAACAAGGAGAGTAGTAAGTTTGTTTAACAGTCACTGTGGCACATGTCCCCAACAATCAGAAGGAATCTAGCCCTACTGTTAAGTGTGAATCTTGGAGCCCTACTGATCCAGATGACAATATTTTAATGGTTGGATTATGAGGAAGATGAGCAGAGGGGCAGGGAAGTTAGACTAATTGGGACTTGGGACAGTGGATATTGACTAACAGCAGGTAGAGCTATACCAAAGGGGATGCATTGAGAAAAAGTGCTGATCCTGGAGATGGGCAGAGAAACTAGGCAAACTAGAAGACACCATTCAACAAGGCTGGAGGAAGAACCCCCCAGCTACTCCTAGGAGATACCTGGAGAACCAAGGCTTACTCAAGGCCACGGCTTCATTCCCAGTGCTTCCAGGAAGTTAGCTCAATGAAGAGCAGTTTCAATACCTTCACTTTACAAATAAAAACATTGAGCTGCAGGAAAAGCCAAGAGAGTGTAGGGGATTATTTTTAGTAACTTGGGAGATTTTCAGTAACTTGTCTATGATTGCAAAACTAGCAAGTGGCAGAGCCAAATTCAAATTCAGGTGAAGATCTCTCTATACCTGACTACAATGTAAATGGTAGTACAAGGTAAAAGGCAAAAAGGGAAAATCAGTGAGTAGTTCTCAAGGAGCTTTGAGGAAGCTCAATGGTGTCTTGGTGACCAAAAAGCTCAGGCAGAAACCAGAAAGTTCCTCCTCCAGCTCCTAGGTCAGAAAGATCTATACATATGTGTTTCTATCTGCTCTAGGGTTGCTGAGGCATTGGAGGGGTGGTAATATCTGAGATTTGAAATGGCCTGTGCCATTACAATGGGCTTGAGAATTTGAAAAGTGGAGGTATCATTTATCTTTGTACCTCCAAAATGAAACATAGTCTTAGGTACAAACTAATCATTCAGCAAATATTTTTGAAAGCATGAATGCATAAACAAATGAGATACTTGATCTTTCTCAAACATGGACCTGATTCCATCTATTACCTTCCTAAAGCCTTCCCAAAGTGTCCCACCAGGTGTAGGAGAAAGTCTAAATGCCTTTCCTATAATCCAAGGCCAGTATGATCTCACCTCTGCCTGTCACAACACCCTGCCACATACACTCAGCCTGTCCCTGCTCCTGAGTGTGGCAGAATCTAATGTTTTGGTCCTTTCACCCTTTTGTGCTCTTGATTTTTGGTCATTGCAAAACCCCATGCATTTTGGGTGGAGGGATTGTTTCTTCCACATGGATCATCTCTGGTGGAGCTGCCAATGAATTATGGGTGCACAACACAAGTACGACCAACCAGAGTTCTTTCCAGAACTGATGTAACCCCAGAGGGGAAAGGAGGTCTCTTCTTCTCTCTGAGGCCATTCTCTGTGGTGGTGGGGTATATAGGGTAATGCAAGCCTGGAGCTGTCTGTAAACACTCCTGCCACATGAAGACTCTTCTCTTTGCTTGAAGGAAAGGAGCCATATACTGAGAAAAGCACAAGCAGGCAAGCAAGGCAGACAGGCAGACACAGACACACAGATATACACACAGAAAGGGCTAAGTTTCCATGTTCTACATTCCTCAGGTCTCTGTGTTCTCTTCCTGGTCTCATGATTCAATACATTCGGGGGGGGGCATTAATGTGAGTATGTTTCCTTTATTAACTAATAGAATGTTTTGACTAATACTCAGCTGTACTGGGCTGCTGCTGACAGTCCCCAGAATTCTGTACTTACATTTCCTGCATAACTGAAGCCAGATAAAGCCCAGAGGATATGGGAAATCCAAGGGTGGATCTTGTGGTCCATTTTCCTTGTTTTCTTGTTTCTGCTTCAGGCCATATCATCCTGTCACATCCATGTTTACTGGGAGATTTTCCTGGGTCTTTTCCTTCATGCTTTCTGACCCCAACTCAATAGCTTCCCAGTAATCCTTTTATCCTTCCCAAGTCTGCCTCCTCACGGCCCTGGCCCCTGACAGGGGTTGGCATCCTTTTCTGTCTGCTGGTTCTGTCACTAGATGGGAGACTTTGGGAGCCTGGAGCTGCAGCCTTCAGAATGAGGACCTGCAATGTCAACTCATAGCAAGAACTCCAAAGATCTCTAGCTCTACAAAGATTAGCTAATCTTGTGCCAAATCTTCCTTCCCATATCACGACTGATTGTGCTAGTTGGCTCCCTAGCTTTCAAAAGCATTCAAGACATCCAGGCAAAGGGGGAGAGTAAAAGGTTTGGAAATCCTCTGCCACTGTATTTTAGTTGCATGGCAAGATTCAGACTTGAAACCCATCAAGCATTCAGGAGAGAAATGAGTAAAGGTAAGCAGGTTCAGGGAAATGGGCAGTATCACAGAGGAACTGGGAGGGGACAGATCAGACCTAGTGATTGAGTCTTTCCAGAGATGGGGTTGAGTCTGAGCAACACAGCCCAGCAGAGGACCCTATGTGGCTCGCATAAGCAACCATAAGGACTCCAGACCAGTGGCCTGTGGCATGTGGAGGCCAGTGTTTAGTGGCTCAGGATTTTGACCATCATTCTGGGTATGAATGGTGCCGGGTTGGCTCAGGGCCTCCTCTGCAAGGGTTATATCTCCTCCAGTCCGTGAAGAGAACTGGGAGGCAAGGACAGGAACCTTGACCCCCTCTCTCAGGGTTAGCAAATTGTTCTCTCCTCCTTTGAGCTCTCCTGCAAATCTCTATCCCATTCTGCCTTTAGAGTAGTTTTGGCCACATGAGCTGACTAAAATGGGTGGCTTTTTACCTCATGGTCTCAGGAGCCTCCTGTCTTTATTCCTATGCAACTTCTGTTCATGCGCCTCTCTCCCTTGTCACTCAACTTGGTAGTCTGGTCCCCAGACATCCATCTCCGGGGCTTTCCAATTATAGCTGTCTTCACCCCATGACTCACGAGAAAGATTCTGATTGCTCTTTCATGTGTGAAGCTCCTAAGTGGAGGTTCTGGGATATCTTTATTGTTGTCCTCAATTTACTTCCTACTTCAAGGACTATGTGGATAAATTCATCTGATTGAGTTTTTGGGCCAGCCCAACTGAATGGGAGGAAGTATCCCAGCATGCCTCTTGCCTGGTGACTATGTTTCTCCTAAGAGTCAAAGCAGAGCCAGAGTCACACACTTGGAACTGGGAGGGACCGAGCAGGCAGCTTGCACCATGATTCCTTGGAAAGATCCTGGGCCTTGGAGTGAGACCGACCCTGAGTCTGAAACTAGCCCCATCCTTAGCAGCTATGCAACCTAGACCAAGTAAGTTCTTGAGCCTCATTTTTACCCTTCATTTCTAAAATAGAGATAAAAATACTGTATCAACTTTGCAGGTTTATTATGAAAAGTGAGGCATGGTGGTGCACACCTGTATGATGAGGCAGGAGGATCATGAGTTTAAGGCCAGTGTGAAACACATAATGAGACCCTGTCTGAAACAAACAAACAAAAAGTAAACGAGACCTCTGATAACTATGATGCTGAACAACTGAAGGTGACATTGTACTTGACTGACACCTCCTTGAGTGACAGAGGCAGATGTGCCCAGTCAGGTATCGAGACAGTGGTAAAATCACAACAGATCGTGTCTCTACTCTGTGACTCTTGCGCCTTCCCACACCACCCACCTCACGCCGAGGGGGGGCAGATGATCATGATGGGAAGATCTTCATTTCTTTGATTACTGCCTGAGGGTTTGTCCAAGTGGCCAAGAGAGGATTAGCAAACCCACCCCAGGTTGCTTCCACATCAATGGCAGAGAATAAAGGAACTAGGGTGAAAAAGTCAAACAGAAGAAAGCGCCTGGAAAAGCTGTTTTTATGTTCACTTACTTGGAAAACAATACAGCATGAAGATACGTGCTTTTCAAAAAATTCATCCCTATGAACCTGTCTGTTTCCGCTGCACTTGTAATTCAAGAACTGCCAAATGGAAGCCATAGAATCGTGGATGGGGGGGTGGAGAGGAGGGCTGTCAAGGGACAGGTAGTAATTATGTGCTATTTCTCTTCTAATTTCAGATAATTTAGAGTTTCAACTTTTCCAGCAAGTCAGAGTTACATAAACAGATGCCATACTAAAATACAATTGGGTAAAAATATAAAACTCCTACAGCAATAATATTTAAGGAAAAGACATATTAGTCTGATACAGTAAGAAAATACAAACAGGATCATTTGAGCAGTTGTTTCTCTGTATGAAAAACAGTTGCAAATAATGGGTAGATGTGAAATAATAAAGTATTCAGTTTGCACATAACTTAGAAAGGGGTAACATTTCTAAACACTGACTTTGTAAGAAAACATGAAGGACATCTTACACTCAACAACCATGGTTAAGAGGAAGAAAGTAATTTCTGAAGGTTGCAGTGGGCAAATGCCATGGTCTCTGTTTTCACCTTGGCCTTAACCTGTGTTGGGATGTTCACACTGCATGGGGTTTCCTGCAGAATCTAGCACCAATATGTGAATCAGATTTTGCCTTTGCACGGAGTCCTTTATGTTTTCAATTTTGAGTGTACTGAGGTATGTTTTCTTTGGTTGCTCTTGTGATGAATGTGTAATAAAAAACTGTAATATTTACAACACTTAAACATTTCAGATTTCAGTGTCAACTCTTCACATAAGAAAAACTGGAAAACTGTTTAGGAATCATTGGAAGGTCATTACTTCCTAGCATCTGTCATGAAACTGTTTTCAATACACAGAACAATTAGCCTATTAGCACAGTTATATGCTTTCTGGTCCAGAATCTTCCCCGTGTTCAGTGGCGAGGCAAATCCTGTGACTGCCATGTCTGCCGTTCGCCACGCTTCACAGTACTTATCCACAAGACGGACACCATGGGTGGTGGAGCCATGCCAAACGACCTTCTGGGGCCTAAAAGGTAATTTTGTCAAGTTACATTTTGAATGACACATCTTTGTGGTATATCTTAGTAAGCAGTGTGTTAAGTCTAGTGAATCAAGTGGATCAAGTCAAACTCCTTACCGCTCCACAGAGTCTAATGCCAGATCTCTCTACTCTCATGGTTCTCTTTTCTTCCCTCCCTCCCTCCCTCCCTCCCTCCTTCCTTCAGCCTTTCTCTTTTTTTCTTCTGGGGATTGAACCCAGGGCCTTTACAGTAAGCTACATAGCCAGCTCTTTTTCATTTTGAGACAGGGTCTCGATAAGTCACTAAGTTCCCCAGGCTGGACTCCAACTTCTATTCCTCCTACCTCAGCTTCTTAGAGTACAGGATTACAGGTGTGCATGCAGCACTGTTGGTTCTTTCTAGCTTTCTGAACACATTGTTCCAGCCACACCCAGCTTGCAATTGTTTCCCAGCCACATACTCTGTTTTCGTAAATCTAAACCACCACTCATGAGGCCCCTTAGTCTAGAGTGGTCCCTATTTCACTAACTCCTTATTATCTTTCAAACCCTGATGCCTCCTTTTTTTTTTTTTTGGTACTGGGGATCAAACTCGGGTCCTCGCGCTTGCGCAGCAGGCGTCGAAACCACTGAGCTAAATCCCCGGCCCCCTGATGCCTTCTCTTGCAGGAAGCCTTCTCTGATTCTTATCCCTAAGTGAAAATGATTGGTTATCTATGTGCTTCTCATTTCATCAGTTTCTCCATTTTACAATCACACCGTTATCTTTTGTCTATCTTCCCTTGAGGAATGGGAGCTCTTTAGGGATGGGGGTCATGTAGGTTTATTACTATGCCTTCCAGGCCTGGCATCAGGCCTATTATAGAATAACCTGAAGAAAGGTTTGCTGAATTGTTCTGCTGTGAAAAGCACACATCATGTGCAAGATTTAGAGGGCAATTCATGTACAGAGTTACTGGATCACCAGTTCATCACTTAGCACTTATTAAGTGCCTACTGCACGGTATGTTTTCGTCCATATCTGTTTTATCTGCCCAACAATCTGATGGTATTTATACCACCTTTTCCAGGCGCATATTTATATGGTCATCTTGTCCACTTGACAAGCAAGGCAACCGAGGCTCAGAGAGTGGAAGTGCCTTGCCTAGCGTCTCATATTGAGCTACTGAACTCAGGTCCTCCAGTTTCAAGGCCAGGGCTTTGTCCATGGCCTTCAGCCTTCAGCTCCTTCACTGTAGCTTCATGTTGGCAATAACGCAGTAGGCAGCTGATAAAGGTATCCCATTGTAAGGATACCCCCTAAAACTCTCCATCATATCATGTAAGTGGGTTCCCACCCTCACTTACCAAGAAGGATCTGTCAACACATCTCGGCCATCAAAGGAGTATATTGGAACATGTGTATTGAACTGACCTCCATCACCAGAAAAAATCGAGTCCCAATTATTAAAAAGTACTTGGCCCTATGAAGATAAAGATCATATTAGAATCACTACAGTCCCTGTGGAGACTGATACACTCAGAAAACAAGGGGAACAGGTTTTATTTTTACCTTGAGGTTTACTATTGGAAGGCTGTATCTCTCTGCCTTCCTCACAACTGTGGAGAGATCTTGCAAATGGGAAGATAAGAATGCTCGGAAAGTGGACAATAGTCCTGCAGCCCTGGCCTGTTGGAAGCACTGAAAATCAGCTCTAATGTCCCCAGAAAATGGCATGTTTAGAGCAACCAAGTGCAGCTGTAAAAAGTGAGAGAAAAAACACTGCAGTTAGCATTGAAGGGAAACCCCAACCACAGAATGGTCTCATGTCCTGAAGAAGATTCCAGCAGTCTTGGGATTGAAGATACTGTACATCACAGATCATCTCATTCAACCTGGACCTTACATGAGAACGACAGCCACTGCAGGACCATCCCCAGGGCAGGAAAGTTATGGTTCCCCAGGTCACCTGTTCCAGCTCTCTGAACAGCCATATTATGTGAGATGTCTTACTTTGATGAGAAAACCAAACCAAACCCTGTTTGGACCAAATAAAGCACTTCAGAGATCTGAATCCAGCCTGAAGGCATATGTATGGGACCTCTGGGTGTCCCTAGCTCAGTCCCAGTAGGGGTTTTCAGCTGACACTGGTCCTGGATCCCAGAGCTTCTCAGGCTATCTGCTATCTGTGCTTTCTTCCATCTCCTGAGCAGGACTGAGACTGATCACATGAGGGGCCAGGGGAATGGCCTTGAAAGGAAAAGGACATGACATTTACTACCAAGACTGCTGGGATGGGACCTTCTAGAAACTAGGGGTCATATAGCCATTGTCGCTGTATATCCTTACCTTGTTCAGTAGCAAAAATAAAAGCCACTCTACAGCCTGTTTTCTCCCACACTTTCTTGCCCTAAACCCGGCATCACTCTAATGCCCTCTCTCCCAGGCCCTTCTGCCATGCCTTCTGAATACATTTCATGATCAAAGAGCATTGTCCCCCTATCTTCATGCGCATCTCAGGAGGAACTTGCATCTCACCAGCATAGACCTGAGGAGGGCTGGTGCAAGCTGGGACTCAAGTCATCAAGGGAAGAAAATATTTCTAAATATGTTAAACCAAAGAACAGGAAATGGGCCCAACATGTACACCGGAACTGGTAGGTATTTCTCTCTGTGTTTCTGTGCTGACTTTCAGATTGGAACAAAGACTCTGTGTGTTCCAGCAAATGGTGTCACCATGTTGTCATTCTCCCACTTTCCAAGTTTCCAGCCATTGGCCACAGATGGCCACACGTTACAATGTCTTGAAAGCCCCACACCATCTTTGCATTTCTGTGGACATTTTTCTTCACTCGTTACTCTTTTTCTTCCATTCTCCATAGGACAGACTCCAAGTCTGCTGCCTCCCCTAATCTCTATTTATCTTACTTCTTCCTTTATCACCATGCTAGATGGGGGTCCAAGCCGAACAGCACTTCCTCACCTCTTTTCCTGCTCCCAACTGTGATGAGGCTTCCCCAGGAGGCCTTACAGTATCAGAATTTAATGCTATACATTGCCAGCCATTAGGATGGGGAAGGCACTCCAGCACACTGCTTACCACGACCACTTCCAGGCCACCAGACTTTCAACTTTCACCCCACAAACACCCTGACCCTGGATGCCCTTGTCATCTAGCTATATTGCCTTCACCCTGCTTTCCTCTTCATGGATCTGGAGACTCTGGCACCTGAAGGAAGGGCTCCGTGGTCTCATCACCCTCTGACCAGTGCACATCTGTGGCTGCATGCAAGGGCATCCACAGAGGCCCTGACATATGAGGGTTCTCCAATGCCAGAGACCACCAAAGAATAGTATGGGGGCAAATGCTGGCCTTCCCTGCTATACCTCTAATCTCTGTATTCTTCCTCTCTTCCCTTAAGGAGACAAACAGAGAAATGGCTAGAATCACGGTCATTTTCAAATGGTGGGGTTGGGGGCTTGTTCTGTCCTGTTCGTATTTCTCTAGTTGCTGGAACATTTTTCTAATGAATATATATTATTTTTATGAAGCCAAACATCTTATGACAACTAAGTGTTAAGATGGCTATTTTGTGGGTACTAGTCGTTTTGTTAAAATTATAGATAATTTACTATTCTTCATTCTCTATAGGCATTGTCTAAGTTTACTACTGTGAATGTATAATACTTCTAAATTTAAAAAACCCTGTTTAAAAATTCCATGAGCTACCACCCTAACTTTTTTTGGAGTTTTTTGAAGGGCTTCTCTCTCCCCTAGCCTCTCATTTATTCCTCAACTAGCTAGAATCTTCTTGGTCACTGAAACACTTTGCTATAGTTTTTAAATTTGAGGGATATGATTTAGTTCTTTTTATGGACCTCCTGGCAGGTTAGTACCCTGTTTGGCATTCTTTCTTCCTTGCTGGCTATGGCTTCTCAGCTTTCTTCTCATATTTCTTTTATCAGTTCCTGTTTTTTCTCCACATAGTCCAGTCTACCATCCCCATAACAATTGTCATGGTTCTGTTAAAGACTTCCAAATATGTCTTCAGACTAGGTCCCGCTACAGGCTTCTGACCTTCATTATCCCATTTCTTCCTGGCTGTCTCTTCTCAGGTGTCACCTAGGCACCTCAGACTCATCATGCCCCAGTGAGGTCTTCTTCAGTAATGGCCACATTATAGGAAGCATCTTTCTGTTGCCTGTCAAACCCATGCCTTACTCTTTGAAAGTGTCTCGGGTCTTCCATTTTATTCTCCTGGCTCCCGTGGATTAGATTGAGAGTGGGCAATGACCCAAGAGAGACCACAGAGATGCTCTTTCCCATGAGTTAATTGAGTCAGGTGGAATGGGGCTCTGCAACCACACAATCACATAGAATTAGGGCCAAAATTAGTGCAATGGCAACTGGAGCTGTGTGCAAGCTCATGTTACCTCTGTCTGTTTGTTAGGTTCGAGGGGAGGCGAGAAGAGAGACTTGCAGAAGGAAGAATCTGCTTCCTTGGAAATAGTAAGGCATAGTAAGAGCAGGGACAGGAGACCCCAGGTCTGGTTGTACTTCCTGCGCCTGAGTTCCACAAGTTTCCTGTAATGATTTACAGGAAGATCAATCAGATCTTTATTTACAAAGATCTTTATTTAAGTTGGCAAAAGAATAGAGTGAGAGTTACTAACCCCAATTATGTGAAATGAGCCCTGGAAAGGAACTTATGACCACTGATTATCTAGGCTGAAACCTGGCCATCATTACTAATCTCTGTCATCCTCATTGTACCATATCCCATCAGTGACCAAACTGGTCACTCCTGTCTCCTTCATGTCTTTTCAGTCTGTCCACCTTCCCACATGCTCACTGCTGTGACCCTAATTTGGAAAATACAGGAATCACCAAACTAGTTTTTGGACCCTAGCTCCTCTCTTCTCCAATCCATTTGAGCAAGATAATTTCTGAAGATAAGTGCCAATTTTTATCATACACCTTTCCTACCTTAAACCCACCAGTTAAGTCCCCACTGCCCAGAGAAAAGGGCCAAAGTTCTTATGATGGCATGCAGGCCTTTCATGATTAGCTCTTGCCCTTGCTGACCTGCAGAATAAACTTCTCCTTTCTCTGCACTGAACTCTACTCCTTTGGCCAGATTGAAATGCTTGCAATCAGCACTTCTCCTTGCCTCCCTCTGTTCCATTTTTCCTCTACCTGGAATCCCTGCTCTCTTTTGTCCAATTGGCTTACTCCTGAATCAACAGTCCTTTAGATCTTAGTTTAGTGCTCACCACCTTGAGGTCCAGGTCATCTCCTCCTCAGCCTTCCTCATAACTCCAGTATCTTGTGTTTGCCTTGCCCAAACAAGTTTCTGTACTGCTCTGTAATTGTTCATATTTTATTTGCCTTGATTACTTGTCTATAAGCATCCTGGCAGTAGGAGCTGTATACTAAGCCCAAGGTCTAGCAGGTGGTAGACACATTCAATGTTTGCAAAGAAAATGCATGAATTGTACTTACCACAGGATTCTCGTAATTGGCACTTAAAATAGGGTTCAGTGGAGGCTGGAGCTGATATGACTGTTATGTAAAAGGAGAAAAGAAGCAGTTGTGAACACACATTCAATCTGTTCTTCATACTACAGTGAGGTGCAAGTTCAATGCTTCTTGGGAAGGCACGTTTGTCACTGTCTTAAACTGTGACCCCTTTCCTTCCCTCCTTCCTTCCTTTCTTCCTTCTTTTTCATTCCTGGAGATTGAACCAAGAGTCTTGGCACTGAGCTACATCTCCAGCTTTTAAAAAATTTTTAATTTTGAGACAGAGTTTCGCTAAGTCACTAAATTGCTCAGGCTGGGCTTGAACCTGGAATCCTCCTGCCTCAGGCTCCCAGAATGCTGGGTTACAGGCATGCGCTTCCACACTGATTTAACTGTGACTCTTGAGTGTTGAAGAATTTCATAGTCAAATGTAAAAGTCATCCTGAGAAAGGGAAAGGATGCTCTCAAGACTTTTAAAAAGACCTGTGAATCAAGAAAACAGAGGACTTGTGCTAAATGGCCAAGACACTCACTTAACAGAGCAAGCCACATCTTCAAAGCCTTAGTTTCATCATCTGCAAAATGGGGATGACAGCAGCTGTTTCATACAGTTGCAACAAGACTCAAAGACGGACCATGCCAGTAACCCATGTTCTTACAAGGCAGAAAGTGTCAAAAAGTAAAAGGATCTTCTAGATGGCTTGAGCCAATTAATGATTTCACAACTGGTAAACTGAGGCTAAGAGAAAAAACCCTTGCCCAGGAAGACTCATGAGGGCAGAGGTGTTCTACCTCTGGGCCCTGTTGTTCCTCTACTCTATTGTGAGAATGTTCTGTTGGCACCCAGTAATTTGTGGGTTTCCGGCATGCTGACCCATGCAGTGCTGGCTGCTGAATTTGGAGAGTTGGTACTGGATGCCAAGGGGCACTCAGGAAGTTGATAAATGAAGAAGCGAAGGCCAAGGAGGGGGCACTACTCACATTGCTGGAAAGCGCAGGGGGTGGAGGACTGTCGGCAGGGATGGGGATGAGTTCTCCCAGCTTTAAGGAAAAGAGTGCATTGAAAATGAAACATCAATTAGAAACTGTTTGCCTATTTTCAAAATGGAAAAATGTAATTTACAGGAGTATATTATTATCCTTAAAAGAAATTCGGAGGCAGTTTATTAAAGACAGTTTAAGAATTACCTGTAATTTTCTCCAGCCATCTCGGACGCGAATGAAGAACTCTGTGCTGTCCCTCAGGTAGATGAATGTTCCTTCTATGACCAAATGTGCTTTCTGCAGCATGTCATCCATACTGCTGAATGCCGTGACCTGTCAGATCATTTTCATTTCCAAACATTGCTGTTAGCATTAGAATACAGGCCCTTCTGTAAAGTCAACTAGGAGCTGTGCCCTCATAGCCAATGAAAAGGCTTACTGTGCCATACTTTCTCTAATAACTAAAGGACAGGCTTTGTGATGAAACGAAAACATGTATTACCTTGAAACACAAATCTAAATTTTATAATCAGTGAATTAAAACACAGTAAATAATATTCTGTGAGCACAAAGATGTAACCATAGAGTTATTTTTATTGGGTTTTGGTATGAGCAAAACCACTGGCAATTTTTCCCCCTTCCCTTTCTTTAAAGCTGCTCGGTGGCACTAACTAAATGGTGTCATCTCATGTTGCTCCGTAACAGGTTTCACATTTGTTTGCACTTGGAATAAGAAATGCAAGCAAGTAGGCAATTATACTTAGGCCTTAATTTTTTTGCCTAGCTTGGTAATTGCAATATTTAATACACGATGGAAAATGGAGGCCTGCAATTTCTCTGTCTCGAAAACTACCAAAGATTAGACAGCCATTTAGCATATCTAGAAGCAGACTTGGAAGCTGCAAAAAGTCTACTAAACAGCACTCAATTTCAAAGACTATCAGCAAAAGGAATTTTTATTTAAGCTGAGAAAATTATAAAAATTAATCTCATCTCTCCTTGAAGTTGACTTCATGCATCAAAATGGCTTAAAAGGTCCCAAGGAGCCTAATATTAAAATTCCATCATCTGCTAGATACTGTTTTTGTTTTTGTTTTGTTTTGTTTCCCTTGGCAGCTAATTTTTCCGAGCAAACTTCAGTAAAGATCAAAGGGCATTCCTGGGACTCCTAACAACCCCTTGAAGTATTTATCCATCTTTCTGTGCATTATTATAACCTCAGCATGCTACACCCACCCTCCAGTAGTCACCACATCTTTTAGCAGAATAGTGAAGGCAGAAAGACCTCGGGTAAATATGACCAGCTTACAAGGCCTACTGTGGTAGTTTTTACACCCTTGTGGTTATTTTTAAAAAATACAATATGATTAGTCCTTACTATATAGATCAGTCAAATGAAGATTCACAGGGCAGAATTTCAATAATAAATAATTTTGTTTTCTATATCTCTTTATTTAATAAGTCAACTGAACAGATAATAAATTACCTTCCACTCTTTGTGGAATTGCACCAATTCTATTGTTATGGCATCCTAATTGCAAAGTGAAAGGGAAGCCAGCTCCTGAACATTATAGCCAAAGCTTTAATTAAACCCACCCACAGCAGAATGATGACTACACATTGATAATGGTACTGACCAAATTTCTGGATCCGGGAAGCCCTGGCTGTCCTGGAGGGCCAGGTGGGCCTGGAAGAGCCACAGCTAAGACAAAATAGAAAACAAAAATTATAGAAAACACATTCCTTGAAAAATGCCCCACATGCCAGGTGACCACTGAGAGGAGTGTTCACAGCCCCATTTCAGTGCTTCAAGAAATCCCACCTCGCAACTGTGTGCTGGGGTTTTGGACCCAGTGTGTGACTCAGGCCACGCTGACTGGTTTAGGGAAGACATGGGGTTATTCACTGTCATCCTAGATCAAGCCGTGCTGAAGACTTTTCAGGTTTATAAGTCAATCAGTCCCTTCTGTTGTAATTTGTAAAAGCCAGTCTTAATTAGGTTTTCTGTCACCTGCATCCAAAAATATCCCAACTCACATAACTTACCTCACCCAAGACAAGCATGTGACCACTGAACAGAGGAAGTGGGCTCAGAAAGAGGAAGAGAAGGGGCTAGGCTGTGGGAGGAGGCTGGGGTGTGCAGTAACAGTAGCTCTGCCCTTGGGGCAGAGATATGGACTCAAGTTCCCGGTCTGTCACTTCCCAGCTCTGTGATCATGAAGAGATAGTAAGCTCCCTGGACCTTCTGTCTCATCTGTGAGATGTAAACAAGCATTTATTCTTCACTGGGCTGTAGTAAGAATGAGTGAAATACAAACTCAGAATGTGCTTTGAAAATTGCACAGCATTTAGCTAGGGGTTCTTAACCTGTGAAGAGTCATGGTACTCTTAAAAATCAGATGAAGACTACTGACCTCTTCCCCAGAAAAATGTATGTGCACACACACACTCCCACAAAAAAAAGTTAGTGGGATGACAGATCCCTGAAGAATATTCTTGAGCTCTCTAGGAATCCATGATTCACTAACTAAAAAACCCCTGATTTAGGCAAACACGTGCAAGAATTATTACAGCTATTCCCTTACTCTTCTACCTCTCTAAAGCCCTGTCCCCACTCCCACCTCCTCCACAAGATCTGCAAAGCGCTTGGCATAGTTAAGGATGTTTTTACAAGGCCTGGTAAAGTCACTATATATGCTTCTCCAGGTCATTGTGAGCAGGTCTTCAGTTCCAGCACGGTACCTGAATGTCTATACACAGGATAAAGGGATGGGGGTGACTTGGATTTGGATTGCAGCCATTCCTCCCACTAGTATGCATGTCCTTGAAGAAGTCTTTTATCCTCTCTAAGCTTCAGTGTCTTCATCCATGAAATGAGATTTATAATAATATCCACTTCATCTTCCTCCCAGTTGCTGGGAAGATTATATAAGATAATAGCTACTCGAGTGCTCTGTAAACTGAGATTTGCCATATATTATGTGAGGGCAATCCTTATTCAACACAGTGAAGTGTCCCCAGCTCCCTTAGTGCAGTGCTGCTGTGGACAACAGATTCTCTGCAGCCTGTGCTCTTTGCCACAGGCCTCCACTTCCTGCAGCTCCCATTCCTGTGTCAAGACTATGTAGACCCTTCTGGTTTTATCCATCCAGTACCTTCATTCCCCATCATCTTCTCTTGAGGCTTTCCCTTCACCTCTACAACTGTTTGGTTCCAGAAAGAGCTACCATGTTCCCGTCTCCCCCCGCACTCCATCTCTTTCTCTGGTGGTTGCTGTTGTTTGAGACAGGGTCTCACTCTGTAGTTTAGGCTGGCTTCCAACTTGAGGCAATCCTCCTAGCTCAGTCTCCCAAGTGCTGGGATTACAGGCATGCACCACCACTCCCAGGGTTACCATGTTTTCACATGATCCTATTTCCTGGCCATAAGTGATTAATCCAAGGTTGGCACCTAGCTTGAATAGGCCAATCAGAATCCTTCCCTGGGACCTGCCCTGCCTTAGGACTTTTCAAACTAAAACTGAGAAAGGAGGTCAAGATTTCTAGCTGGCAGAGGAAGCTGCAAGTTGTCAGTAGTCATATTTTTCTTTGTGCAGAGGATGTGGTTTGCAGTGAGGTGAGGAAGCATGAAGCCCGTGCACAGAGAGAAGCTGAGACAAGAGATAGCCTGAGAATCCTTGCAGAGGTCAAGACCTTGGTAGTGGTCCTTCTGGAGTTCCAGCTGCCTATCTCCCCATGGACTGATTGTTCACTCTTTCCTTCACAGCCAATACATTTCCCTTTTGCCTGTGCCACTTTGAGTCATGTTTCTCACTTGTAACCAAGAAAGCCAAGGCTAAACCAAAGCCACAGCACCAAGGTCACCTCCTGTATAAAGCTCTCTCTGATGCTCTAGACTACTTGGGTCTCTATGACCCCGCCCTTGGCTCATGCCAACCCAGTCAACAGAAAACTATGCATTCATGATATTTACGCTACTACAAGTTGAGCATCTCTTATATGAAATGCCTGGAACCAGAAATGTTTCAGATTTCTGGTATTTCATAGATTTTGGAATATTTGCATATACATAATGACATACCTTGTGGATAGGACCAAAGTTTAAACACTAAATTCATATGTATAAAGTTTTATGGATACTTTATATGCAAAGATGAAAGTAATTTATACAATATCTTAAATAATTCTGAATTTGATGTTTTGATAAAATTTTGATAATTTTAATGTGTAGAATTTTCTATTTGTGGCTTGATGTCAGGACTCAAGACGTTTCAGGTTTTGGAATCTTTTCAATTTTGGGTCAGGGATGTTTAGCTTGTACTATTATTGCCCACCATGTACATAATAGAAACAACATTGGAGCAACTATGATCTGAGTCTTAAACCTAAGACTAACCATTTATTAGCTGTGTGACCTCAGAAGGTTCCTAAATATCTCTAAGGAGTCACTTTCCTCACCCGTAAAATGGGGATGCAAATACTTTTCTAGAAAGGTTTTGTGAGAATTCAACAAAATACTGTTGTAAAGTGATTAGCAAAATGCCTGGTACTTGGCAAATGTTCAATTCATGGACATTTTCTTTAACTGCACTCATTTTGCATTTGAGGGACTGACTGAAGCTTCAGGGGATGAACCAATTTTTATATGGAGAGTGAGGAGTCAATGGTGGTCCTTAAGTCAGGTTCTCAAGTCCCTAAGCTATCAAGAAGGTTCCACGGTATATGAAAAGATGCTCAAAAGACAAAGCCACAATGAGATACCACCTCACATCCATTAGGATGGACAGAATAAAAAATGTAATAAAGATACAATAATAATAAGTGTTGGTGAAGATGAGGAGAAAATTAGGAACCCTCATGCATTATTGGTAGCATTATAAAATATTGTAGGTGCTTTGGAAAATGGTTTGACAGTTCTTCAAAAAGTTAAACACCAAATTATCATATGACCCAGCAATTTCACTCCTGGTATATGCCCAGGAAGATAGAAAACATATCCATAAAAACCTGTGCACAAATGTCCACAGCAGCATTATTCATAAGAGCTGAAAAATAGAAGCAACTCAAGTGTCCAAGACAAGATGTGTGAATAAATAAAATGTACAAGTATTTATACAATGGAATGCTATTTGACTATAAAAAGGCATAAAATACTGATAAACACTTTGACCTAGATTAACCTTGAGAACAATATACTAAGTGAAAGAAGCCAGACACAAAAGGATGTACCGTATGATTACATTTATATGCAATGTCCAAAACAGGCAAATCCAGAAACAGGAAATAGATTAGTGGTTGCCAAGATCTTGGGGGGTGGGGGTGGGTGTTAACTGGTACAAAACTTCTTTTTGGTGTGATGAAATGCTCTAGGACACTGGTGATGGCTGCATGATCCTATGACTGTGTTAAACACCACTGAATTGTACAGTTTGATGAATTTTATGAATTTTATGAATAAAAAAATAAACAAAGTTCCATCTAGGAAATAGCCTTCTGTTAGGCAGTGTGGCTCTGACATGCCACCCAGATGTGGTGCCCCTGAGCACAGATGGGGGAACATGCATGAGGACACCACTCTCAGTACTAACCTGCACCCAGAATAGCGGGAGGTCCTGGAGGCCCAGGGGGTCCTGGTGGCCCAGGGGCACCAGGTCTTCCAAAACCAGGTGGCCCAGGCAGGCCAGGAATTCCTGGGGGTCCTTGGGGTCCAATGATAGTCTCCCCTTTCTGTCCCTGTCAAGCACAAAGTAACAGAAGAGAGAAAGGACCATTATTCATTAGACATCCCACAAATTCCTTTTTTGGGGATGTTTGTAAACAAAGTGAATTCCAGCTATTGTTATCATATTCACAAATCTGGGTGGTGTGAGCCCAACTAAGCAGCAGCTCTGGAGTCATCTGGGCCCTGGAGATTACCTGGTCTGGTCCCTGCACTTTACAGACAAGGGAACAGAGAGGAAAGAACTTGCCCCAAATCCCAGTGCAAATTAGGAGCGCAGCTAGAAGTAGAACCCTGGTCTCTATCTTTGCTCATTCTACCAGCACAGGAAGCTTTGGGACCAATGTCAATAACCTGTCTGTGAGGTCAGTAATCTGGCCATCTCAATGGGACCAAAGCTTGATTTTTTTCTCTTGTGGCTTGGAAAACCCTCTCATCCTAAGAAGACCAAGCCTGTCTAGGAGCTCCAACTCATAAAAATTCAGAAGAACCAAGTAGCCCCTCTAAAAATATCACTCTTACTTTTCATTCTGCCTCCATTACCTGATTTGTTCCCCATTAATAATTCTTTGTGTCAACTGAGTTTTTCCACCACATAGGTTAATAAGGTATAATGTGGTTAGTGCTTGGAAGTTAACTAACTGTATACAGCCTGGGCCACTTCCCTTCCTTCCACAGGCCTCTTCCAACTTCCCCATCAGTCAACAAGTAGTGAACTGGAGGAGCTGGCCTCTACTCAGTCCTGTCTCCAGCTTGACTGACCCTTTACTCTCTAACTGCCCAATCCTAGTGGAAGCTTCAGGGAAACCCCTAAATCCTTAGGGGAGATGACTTGGAGGAGTCACTACTCACAGCCAGGCCTGGATTTCCTGGCAGGCCTGGAGACCCAGCCACAAAGAAGTTGCCATTAGAATCTCCTTTTTCTCCTTTGAATCCCCTGTCTCCATTCTCCCCCTGGAAGAGAGAACACGGGAATTTTTCAATAAGACTGAGACAGACTGTCTCTAACATAAATCAAAGAAGTTGGAAATAGAAGTTCTTATTGTTTGACTGTGTCCCCCAAATTCTCCCAAATACCATGTGTTGGAAACTTAATTCCAAAAGTCATGTGTTAATCTTTGGGAGGTGATTAGAACATGAGGGCTGTAAATTAGTGAACTAATGGGGTATCGAGGGAGTGGCTTTGTTATAAAAGTAAGCCCTGTCTGGCACATTTTTCTGGCTGCTTGTGATGTCCTGCACCACCCAGGACTCTGAGGAGTCTGCAGCAACAAGGCCTTTACCAGATGCAACCCCTCAATCTCCCAGCCTGTGGAACTGTGAGCTGAATGGACCCTTATTCTTTGTAAATTACCCAGTCTGTGGTATTCAATTATAACAACAGGAAACACTGAGGCCAAATGTTCAATAGAGAATATTCACCTTCAAGCTGTTCAGGAAATGTCTCAGGTAAGCTGGATCAACAGGAGGACCTGAAGAAGAAATGCTTCATAAAACTTACAATCATAAAAAAAAAACAACAACAACTTACAATTATAGTTTCAGGAAATTTAAAACAAGGGTTTCCAAGTTGGTAACCATGGTAATTTCCTAGCAAGAGTAACCCTACATTGGTTTAGTTAACAGGGTTGGCCCTGGGATTAGAGACAGCTGCCATCCTAGCCCAGGGCCACCCATCCCTCTGTAGGATCCTGGACAAGCCCCTGGGCCTCTTTGGGCCTTGTTTTATATATGAAATATGAACAACTGGACATCCCAGTCTCTCTTGACAATGCTTCATGTTGGACATGCCAAGCCCATGACTGGGTCTCGCCAGAACTCACAGTAGATTGTGGTCAGGGAGATCATGGATTAGTCTTACTCTCTGACTCAGCTGCATTTCTCAGGAATAAAAATTAAAGCCAAGAACCAGAACAAGAGCTGGATTACCTGGTGGTCCCTGGGCTCCTTGGTCGCCTTTTTCTCCTTTTGAGCCAGGAAGACCCCAGGATCCTTTCTCTCCTTTAACTCCTGCCACCAAATTTACACACATTTAAGGAAGAAAAAAAAGGTAGTGGAAAATCACCTTCATTCTATATAAAACCTTTCTGAGACAAGTTTTCAAAGTGAGCTCTAGTAACAAAGCTTACTCAAACACAGAAAGGCCTCTTGAGAAGTCAGTGGTATAAAAGCCTTCACTAAAAGATGAGGAGGACGGCGGCAGATGCATCAGACACAATTCCTGACCTTGAAAAGCTCAGCGTGGTTGGGGAAACAGGCACAGCTCAGAGTAATGCAAGGCCGAAGGAAACAAGCGCTATCGTAGAGAGACCAACACAGCCCTATGGGGCCCAGCAGGGGCTACAATGAATTCTCCTTTAGGTGGTCCCACGAGTGTAGACTGAGGCTCAACACTAGATCTCAGCTTACCTAGGCCTACTGCAGCCTGTTGCTGTGAGTGGGGCAGGAGATTCTCTCAAGGGTGACCACACAGGGCAGCTAAGGGTGCTAGGTACTCTAAGTACTCTACTTATGAAGTTGAGGGAAGAGACGCCCATGGTGTGCAACACTCCTACCCACAAGAACAGTAAGAAGCGCTGCTCTACAGAACTGGCCTCACGGGCCCACCTTCTCCTCCAACACTTTACAGGGAAGGGAGCCTTTTGGGAGATCAGCCCTTGGGAAGGGAAGTGATTCCTGCTTGTTCCCCTTGATGGATGAGGCGAGCATAAGACTGTCAAATTCCTGGTCCCCATGAGGTATGACAGATAAACTTTTCAATGCTCTCAAGCCTAGAGATGGGGCCACAAAGCATAGACAAGGTTTGGGGGCTTGGGATTCTCCAACCTGGAAGAAGGACTATGAACATCAGAGGCATGATGGTCTGCACTGGGGATGAACAGAGGGGTACAGGAACAGATCAGTCCAGGCCCCACCAGTGATGGGGGAGTTGCCTGAGACTGAGGGTCTGGACATCAGGGCTATGGAACCTCCACTGTGTCCAGAGCCAGCAGTGTCAGATAAGAAGACAGTGAGCTTACCACACACCAGGCACGGGCTGCTCACCTGAGGGGTCAGCCGTAATGCCCACAAGTAAGCAGGAGGACAATCGCTCACTAGGGTCATCAAGTTCAGAAAGTTCTGCTCCTTCTCCTCCTCCCAGAGGAGCCCCACAAGACAAGGGAACAAATGAGGAGCTGAGAAAGCAAACACAGCCCTAGTCCTCCTCTCCAAGGTCTACCTGGCACCAAGGGACAGGAGAGCCTTGAATAGGATCTGAGCACAGAGTTTGAAAACAGCCTGGACTTGGCAACCAGAAATAACAGAAAAACCACAGGGCCTCATGTGATCAGGGAGACACCACCTGGTGCTAGGGTAACAGCCAAGCTGGAACTGAGTATTAGGAGGGAAAAAAAGACTTTCCCCTGTTTAAGCTGCAAGCGTTTGGGCTCCTCAAACAAAAGGGGACACATGGAGTGCCAGGATGTGTGGGGTCCAGAGATATCGGTTGCCTGCAGATCCCTGCTCCTAGCTGGTCCCTCTCTGATGTGCTCTCGAGAAGTTCCCCCATATAGCTGTGAACATGCTGGTATTTCCTAAACCAACTCTCAGAGCCAGCACTTCCCACACCTTCCTATGTGTACTCTACTCGGAGGGCTCAGTGGATACAGGTTCTGATTGGGCATGTGCAGGCTGGGGCCTGAGGTTCTGCATTTTAACAGATTTTGTGGAGCTGCTGATGCTGCTGACTTTTGAACACTGTGCGGCCAAGGTCTTCCAAGCTCTCACAGCTCTTCCCTGTCTTAGCTCTTGGTATCTTGTGCTATAATTAATTTCTAATAGTTACATTCACCTAACAGATTCTAAGGGCCTGGAAAATAGGAACAGCACAGGATTCAGCTGTCTCAGCCCAACACAGGAGATAACACCAAGCAAGGAGTTGGCATTAGGAAGAGATTAACAAAAGAATGAGCAAATGGAGCACTTCCTACTGACTAGGAGGCTTAGCCAAGATGTGTAGAATGGATAGATGTGTGACAAAACCAAACAGAAGTGTCCCACCCCATAGTCTTGACTCAGCTGCCACCCCTCCCACCACACACAGCCAGATCTTCCTGACCACCACCACTGTGCCCTGGACACATGAAAACCATCTTCTTCAGAGACACTCGGTCAGGAAATGTCCCAGAAAGAAGGGGTGTGTACCGTGGAAGGTGATGAGCTCTGGATCCCCAGGTTGTGTGGTACCAAGCTGTAAAGAGAGAACAGCTGGGTCAGACACCCGGAACCTTGCCCAGGCACTACTATGGCCAGGGAGCCACTGTCCCTGGGGAATGTGGCAGAAAAGGCAATGTTGGAATCCCAAATTCCCCAGCAGCCCTGAGCACACAGAATCCCAGGTCTTCAACTGGGAGGCCCATCATGTAGCTGGGATAGAGTAGACATAATTGAAACCCATTGACAAGAAAAAAACAACAAAACAAAACAAAAAACTCAGCACTGGGGAAGCCTAAGACTTTCAGACAACAGAGCATGGCAACAATGAGCACTCTTGGCCTCCATTCTTATCCAATGTTCATTTTGACTCATGCAAGAGACCAGGCACCCAAGCCAGTGACACACCCAGTGCTGAAGCCAGGCCAGCCAGCAGTTTGGCTACTGTGTATAATCAAAGATGAGCATAAGGAACAGGTGTTGACAATAGTGGTAGTTAACCAACTAGAATTAGAATGGAGGGCCTATTCTGGACTCCCCAAGAAGTGCCAGGGTTTGAACTCCAAGCTGTTCTGGATGATAGTTCTTCCCAGATTCCTGCATACTCTTACCCTTGAGAGAGCACCACATGTCACTTTGTATTAAATAGTCCACCTTCACCTTTTTCCTAGTTCATATGTGGACCAAAGGCATCCATCAGGCATTAGGATCCTCCTATGCTGATGGACAGGGCCTGCAAGCTGCTCAGGGGTCACCAAGAAAAGATGGGGGAAGGAAAAGAGGAATCTTCATGAGAAAAACACTTCTAAGTTAAGGATGAAGGTCGCAGCACCAGGCTGATTCCGTGCAGTGGTGCTGATAAGTTCCCCCACTGCAGGTGTGAGCTGTAAATTGCTAGGGTGTCAGAAGGGCTGAAATTAGAAAGGGTTTGTGAAATGCTGGAAGCATTTCAGTTTGAAAATGTTCACTATGAGAGCTGGTCAGAAAATGTCCATGCCCCAGTTCCCATGGTGTCCAGCCAGGCAACATGAAATAATAACTCACTCAAAATGCTCAGAGCCCATGAAATTCTTTTAAGTAACTCCATTCTCCCAAAGGCCATGGTGGCTACAAAAGGTCCTAGCACAGGCCATGGTAATTGCAGTATATTTTCACAGCACTCTAAAGTTTGTCAAGTGCTGTCTCATGGTTGGCCCAATTAAAGCCTGAGGTCATGTAAGTTGGGCAAGGCCTCTGACACCCAGCACTGTGGGAGCCATGACCAGCCCACTGCCAGTTGGGCAGTTTCTCAAAGGGTTCCTCCAGCACTGACACTTTATGTTTCTCTTCAGGCCATCGATATAATCATGCACTGGGTGCTGCTGACTTCACATGCAGTTGAACCAGGAGGCCCCTCTATCACCTTACACAGGTGGACCAGAGCTCTTGGATCCTGGCTTGCACACTTGGATGCCTTAAAGGCCAGACATGGGCACATGTCAGGGGAAACAGCCAAACTGCATCATTTTCAAGCATTGGAGCCCAGCACCTACATCACCAACCCCTATAGGCATCAATTACAAACCCACTTCAAAGACTATTTCTGCATTGTAATCTGCATACTCCTGAGAGCAGAGATCATGCCTGTCTAGCTCACCCCTGTGTCCATAGGCCACAGGAGAATATTCAACACTGGGGAAGTACTCAATAAATATTTGCTGAATGAATAAGAATGATTATGTGCAGTTTCATGACTCATGCCTGTGCACAGAGATTGGCCCACCTTCCTGTGTTTCCCCACAGAATTAAGACTCTCTTAATAATATGGGCCAAACCCCAGAGAAGGTGCTGCTGACAGGCTGAGGGACCAGGCAAGCACATCTGCACTTGCTGCTTTGTAGTTATGAATTATGAAATCTGAATTATGATTCCAACTCCATCATGTCCTGGAACTTTAGACTAGCCAGTGAGCTTCTGTGAGTGAGTTTGTTTCCTCACGATAAAGGGAGAGAGATCAGCCTTGCCCCTCTGGGGTATGCATTGTGATCACTGGCAAGGGAAAAACATTGTAGTTACAGACCTTAGCCCTTAAACTCCCTGTGTAGAGACCACAGGTTAGTGTTGGGATTTTTCTGTTTGAAGGGCTGGGAACTGAACATAGGGCCTCCAGTATTCTAGGCAAGCATTCTGGGTCTACTTTCCTCAATTTTATGTTACACTGAGCATGAAGCTAGAATGGCCACACTAAAAAGAAAAGACACTGCTTTATGGATCATATTAAAAGCAGCCAGGGTGAGCACCCTTACCTGATCCAGTGTATTTCATTGCCATAGTCTGTTATCTAAAGCCTCTAGTCACTTAAGGATCTACACATAGTTGATAGAAGACTCAGAGAGGACATCTGGGGATGGACAAGCCCAGACAAAGACTGATCTTTTTTTCTTTCTGAGTAAAGCCTGATCCTGGAGGCAGTGACCATATGCTACTTACTGGCATTTTGCAGTGTGGCCGGACAGGTACTGGGAACACAGCCTATAGGAAATAGAATAAGAGAGGTGAGGCCAATGGGATACCTGACTCAAGCATAAACCAGTCTGGTGCCCTGCAAGGTCTCCCCCAGCCCCATTCCAACTTACTCCTTTGATGTTAACCACAGCTCCAGGTGGTCCTGGGGGGCCTGGAGGACCAGGTAGGCCAGGTGGGCCCTGAAGGCAGTAAAGATAGAACATGTCAGAATTTGGGTGCTGGGAATGCAGAGGTGGCTGCAGGACATTTTCCCAGGTTCTGGGCAGGCACACCAGAAGGAAAGGAGGGCCTTTGGTCTGAAAGCAACCAACTTCTCTCTTGGATAGGCCAGTCTGTCCACAGAGCACTTCCACATCCTTAACCTCGCTATGTCTTCATAACAAACCATGGAGAAGACAGCAGAGCAACAAGTACTGTCCTGGGTTGACACATGCAGATGAAGGGAAGCAACCCGCTCAAAGCCACAGGGCAACTTACAGCAAACATTCTGGAACCCAGATTCTGGCTCCCAGAGCAGTGCTCTGTTGGTGGCAGGGACACTCCTGAGAGCAAACTAGGGGACAGAGCTGGGTGCAAGGACCTCTGGAAGTGGTGGTGGAAGAAGAAGAAAAGTTCCTGGATATCACAAGACCTACCCTCTCTCACCCTGCTCTGGACACCAAGGACTCGGCCCTATCCCCAGGGTGACATGGGTGGTGGCAGTCAGTGGTTGTGGCACTCACCTGCATCATTATTCCTCGATCTCCTTTGGCACCCTTGATGCCATTCAGTCCTGGGCGACCCTGAGACCCACAGGAGACTCTTTAGTAAATACCCTGCCCAGGAACCAGCCAGGCCACATGCTCCACCCTTTACACCCAGTCTGAGGAACACTGATACCTACAGGTCGTCCAGGGAGGCCAAATTCTCCTTTGTGTCCTGGTGGTCCCTTGGGACCCTAGAGGCAAAACAAACATCAGACTAGAAAACAAGAGCAACTCAAAGTTCAGAGAGATGGGGGTGCCATGCCCGCTTTAGGGAGCAGTGATGACTATGAACCATGGAGAGGAGGAAGGTGGGCAAGGGGCAATTACAAAATAGCCACCTATTCAGCTTCTGGTCTCCTACCTCTCCTCTGCTAGAAGCACTTGCTTAGCCCCATCTGACACCCCATTTCCTGCAGGCTGTACCCTATCCAAGGCCCTGAACCTTCACCATCAGGGCTGACTAAGAAGCAAGAGGTCAGCAGCTCAGGGCCTCAGTGCTCAGGTATCTGGGTCGGGGCTGGCTCAGAAGATGGACCTTTACTCTATCTAGGTCACATATCCCAGAATTCCGCTTGTCCCCCAAGCTGAGTACTGCAGCCCTGCCTTCCTCATTTGCCAGCCTGCCCAGGATTTGGTACCTGACCTGGGATAAGATTTGGCTCCTAATGTCCCAAGGACCAGTCTTGGCCTGGCACCCTGTTCTCCAACCAAGTCCTTCAGTGCCAGCTTTCTAGACTCACATGTTTGTCTAGCTACTGCCCTGTTTCAAGCTACTGCAGAAACTGTCATGCCTTCTGGGATCTGGGATGCAGATTAGCCAGCATCTGGGATACAACGCCACCAATCCTATACCGTTTTCCAGAATATGCTCTTCCTCTAATCTGTACCTTCCCAGTCCTATTTCTGGGTCTGCCCTATCTCTCAGAAAAATGGCAGGTTTAAGCTAGCAGCCCTCTAAGTCCTTTCTTTCTGCCACCATTAACACAGATAGCTATGCCCTGAACAACTGCAAATAAAAGACTGCATTGAAATGGGGTCTGCAGTAAAGTTCCCAGTTCACATCACTCTTAAGGAAGGAGTTAGCAGAGCACAGCCCACTTGTTTCATAAGTTCTAGTGCAATATTTCCCAATGTCCATGTAGATGAGAACCACTTAGATCCCATTAAAATGCAGATCCAGTCTGTCAGGGCTGGGCTGGAGGTTCTGCATTTCTAACAAGCTCCCATACAATGGTTGGTGGTGCTGGTGCCTGGGCCATGCTTTGAGTAACAAGACCCTAATGCATTTGCAAAGCAGCTGCAAGCTAAACTAGTCACCAGGGCCACAGTTTGCGCATATGGCATCTTTATGCAAATTACAAGGTGCCCTTACTGACTGTGTTTGGCAAGCTGTGCACAAGCTGGCCTTCAGTGGGACAACAGCCATAGCCATCTGCAGCCGCCTGCTGGCCCTGTTGCTAACTATTTGTATTTCCTATAGTACTGGAGGTTACTGAGCAGTTAACCAGTTGTGAACAAGTTTCTTCCAGTCTGCCTTAGCTCTCAGTACTCTGGGTGTCCATTCTGCCTGATTCAGGGACCACAGGCCTTAGAAGGACTTTTAAAGGGTGCACCTTGGAGATTATGGATCATTCAACGACACACATCTGTTACACAAACCTGTGATCCTTTTTCCCTGGGCCTGAGATCCAGCTTCAACCAAACAAACCCCATGTACAATTCTGCAGCTTATAATGTTTCAAATGAATCAAGGGCAGCTTGATCTTTGAAAGTGGTGGGTGTGTAGTGGAAAGAATCTGGATGTAGATTCTGACAGGCTGGCCTGAGATCCTTCATCTGCCATTTACAAGCCACACGACACTGAGAGGTCACTTAAACTCTCTGAACTCTGCTCTCCTTATCTGTAAGACAGAGGTTCAAGCTGAGTGCAGCGGTACATGCCTGCAATTCCAGCGCAGTAGGAGGCTGAAGCAGCAGGACTGCAAATTTAAGCCCAGCCTGGGCAATTTAGCAACTTAGCTAGACCCTGTCTCATAAAAAGAAAAATAAAAAAGGGGCTGGGGATGTAGCTTAGTACAAAAGGCCCTGGATTCATTCCCCATCATCTATCCCTCCCTCCAGAGAACCTGACTTATCAAATGGAGTTCCGATACTCCCAGTTTAGAGTGGTGAGAAATGAGATGATACACAGGGAGGATCAGCACAGTGTCTGACCCACACTGGATGCTCTCCACCTGAACTGTCTTTATTTTGGGAGAAGAATATATGACAGAGCAGTTTACGGCTCATGCCTGAAAGAAATAGTAGTCATGAAAACTGTTCAGATACCCACATGTGCTGCAGATCTCTAGACCAGCAAGGCCAGGGGGGCCTATCATACCACCTAGTCTTAATCCTATTTCTTCCAAGTACAGATGGGCAAAAAGAAATCCAGAGACAGAAGAGGGCATGCTCCAGGTTTCATAGCAAGTAAGGAGCAAATCCAAAATACAAAAGGTGCAGAGAGACTGTGTGGGGTACCTTTGAGGGGTTCCCTGGAAATGGGCAATCTTCAGCCAGCAAGCACTGTGGCCTAACTTTGAAAGCTCACCACCACCTGATCTCCTCTTTCCTGGCCACACAGCTATGCTACCTGTCAAAGCCCCAGAATCTGAGTTCTGGCCAATGAAATATGCTAGAAGTGATGTCTTCCATGGTCTCTTCCCGTGCCCAACCTTTAGCCTGCCAGCTGGAGTCCACAAGATGGCAGAGTCACAGCATGGATGTACCGTGAGTCCTGAGTCACTGTTGGTGTTGGTGGTGGTTGTGGGGTTAATAAGGAGACACCACAGTAGGCTGTGCAAGTGAGAGACATGGCTGTTACTGTATTCAACCGCTGAAATGTTTATGTGGCTGCAGTTTTCCCACCCTAACACACACAGATTTTGTCACATTCTTCGTATTTTCACTACTAAGACAACTAGGTTTAAGTGAGCCAGAGTATGATACATGCTTCAAAGCCCAGTCCAGTTGCAGCTGAGTGATGCGCTGGCTTACCATTGGTCCAGGGGCTCCATGCAGTCCAGGCTCACCCTAAAACAGGGAGATACAGACTTGTCACTCAGAGGAACACTGTCGGGGGTAACAAAGACAGGAAGCCAAAGCAGATGTGTGCCTTCAGGGCCTGGTGACATAATTACCTTTTTCCCCTTCAGCCTTTCCAGAGGAACATCCCCCGTCAGGATGGCACCTGGCTCGCCCTTCTCACCCTGCAATACAGAAAACCTTCTGATGAAGTTGGGCCTCCTCCTGCCACCTTGTCCAGAGGGTCCCCAAAACCTGCCAGTCCTTCTAAATGACTCTTCACTTTTATCTTGCCTTTCTGGTTCCTCCAGCCCCAATACTCCGACATGATCTCTCACTAAAGTCTCAGACCAGTGCTCACTTCAGAGGCACATACACTACAGTGTCGAACCAGCCCGCTATGAGGCTGAGTGTTCCCACAGCCCTTCCCACTGTGTACCATCAGTTCCTATCCCAGGCAAGGGCTGTGGTCTGCACACCCTCCAGGGCTCCCACTGATGACAGATCCGTACCCTCGCTCTCAGTGCTCTGGGACCCAGCCCCTCCATGGTCTTGTCTACCTCTAGCCAAGTGACATCCCTCCAGGCACCTCTTGCTCCTGCTGGCTTACTTTCCTAACAACTTGACTTGGGATCTGTCCCCCACCAAAAATCTCTATTCTTGTTTAAACACCTGAAATTGGGAAAGAGATGAAAGTGTAAACACCCAGAGGCCTCTCTCGACATAGGGGCCTCGGGTCTCCACGGGTAATTCGCCTCCGAGTTCCAGGCTCTTGTCCAAACACTTACAAGCACTTGGTCAGGCAAAGCTATTCCAGACATTGGGAAAAAGGAGATAGAAGTCTGGGGCAAGGATACAGGATCCTGACCCCAATCCTGTCTTTAGCAGAGCCATCAACTATCCCTGGAGGCCCTTGAGAACAAGGCCAAGTAGAGGAACCTTCTATAACCTCCAGAGGCTTTCCTGCTGGCCCCTGGGGAGCTGAGCTGGGCCAGGACAGCCTCCTTTAAACAGGGCTGGAAGCAGCCAGGCAGTGGTACCAAAATGAGCAGTGCAGCCTCTTCTCTCCATCCCCCCAAAGGCCACCCCTGGTATGTGGGTCTTACCACTCCACTGGTGAGGAAAGGCAGTCCTGAGCACGCCAGCAGTGAGAAGAAGCAAGCACAAAAGTGTTAGGGGCAGAGGAAGAGGAAGCACATTTGCTGCCATGGCTGAAGCAAAGCTGCCTGGGCACTTGTCCGGGTCATTCAATGTGGCAGAGGGTCGGGGGCAGGGGTTGCACATCAGGCCCTCTAGATGTGTCTGACCTTGCCACACAGGACAAAGAGCATTGAAAAGGCAAGGACCACTCTTGCTCAATCCAGCCTCCTCCTAGCCTACCTTGGCCCTCTCTCACTTCTGCAAGCCCACTTCTGCAAAAGCACCCCCAAGACATCATTCGTGCCTGGCCCCAATTTTTTGCCCAGAACACAGCCCTCTGACCCCTGGAGCTGTGGTCCAACAGGCACTAGGGTCCTCTCTCCTCTTTGGGGGCCAGTGTGGCATGATGGGAGAGGGAGGGACAGAATCCTAACACTCCTTTCTCTCAAAAACCAGGCCCCTCCAACTCCCCATAGCAGGCTCAGAGGTTGCATAAGCTTCCACACCCTTTGCTCTGTGCAGACTTCCACCACAGCAGGCCGAACACTGTCCATTGTCCCTTTGCCCTTAGGGGACAATGGATGAAAGAGGGATGGGATGAGTATATAAATGGATGGGTCCAATCCAGAGTCTTTGAGATCTGTTTGTGGATGTCACTCTCCACTCTCATCTATAAAAACCAACTGAGAAATTAATTCTAAGAGCCAGTGTGGAAGGTACAAAGGCCAGTTCTGTACCCTGGGAGTTCTCAGGAAGTGCTCTGCATACTAAGTATTTATTCCAAAGATTTTGGACCACTACTGTCATTCAATGGCAGAGTGCCCCAACTTATAATTTCTAAGTATCAGCCACTATTTTATTCTTTAATTATGCAGTCTTTCATCCAATAGTCATTTCCAATATCATTTGTGCACCAGCCCCTGTTCTAGTACCCAAGCGATAGAAGAGTGTTCTCAGGGAGCCCATATTCCAATGAAGATACCCCACAGGTGATTAGACAAAGCATAGAGCATGTGAGACCAGCACTGAAGGGGGTGCTGAGTTGCATTCTCTTTCCAAATTATGGTGAAAATCAACTTCACCCACAGAGTGAACTTCATCATGGAAGAACTCTAAGATTAAATAAATTAACAGCTGGAAAGTGACTGCAATAGGCACAGGCCTTCTTTAGGACCTGCTGAAAATATTCTAGAATTAGACAGTGGTGATAGTTGTACAATCTTGTGAATCTACTAAAAATTTACTGAGTCATACAATATAAAGGAATTAACTTTGTTGTATATGAACAATTTCTCAAAGAAGAAAAGGTTAAAAGCTATGCTCAGTCAGATGGAAATGGTTAGCAAATTCAAAAGCACAATCCCACCCTGATACCCAGATCCCTCTTACCTGTTCTCCTTTGAGTCCTGGAAATCCAGGCAAGCCAGTGTCACCTTTTGGTCCTCTAGGGCCCTGGAAGGAATTGTTGGAGGGTACTGTGTTATTAAGATTAAATCTTTCCACCAATCTAAAAGAACAGAGCATGCCATTCCCCAGGTGAATTAACCATGACATTTTCTCAACTTCAAGAGGTTCACAGATTGTGGCCTGGTACAGCAGAGGCAGCTGTGAGCCCTAGGAGACCTGCAGGCCCCACACCTCTTGGAATACTAACTGATAGTGCTGCTGAAGCACTGGTCCTGCTGTTATCTCATCTTATTGCTTCAATTCCCTGATGGCTCCCTAGGCCTTCCTGCAGCCCACCTTCCCCAACACTCGTCCTCCAACACTGTCTTCCTTCACTGGCTCCTACAAGCTGGGATCCAACATCCTATCTGACACCCAAATCCCTCCCAGTACTTCATTTTCCATGCCACTGGTATGACTCCCCTCCCTTGTTCCCCTGTCTCCCCCTTCCTTCTCTGAACTAATGTTCATGCCATCCTCTGCAAAGCCAAACTCCACACCCAGCCAGATGTGACCTCATCTCAACTCCAAGAAGCACTGAATATCTGACAATGATTCATTTGGCCATGACACCCATCCCCGAAGGACATTTAACACTTTATTGATATTTAGCTTTTCACAAGCCCTGTCTTGTCTTCTGGGTGAAAGGGTGAGCTATCCGTGATGGTGGTGCCATTCATATATTTGCAATTATTATTTTTCAGGAGTGAAGTTCTTTCCTTCCCTTTCTCTCAAATCAAGTCTCGAATGAATGCCCAATACACAATATGTCAAATGGAGCTTTTCTTAAAGGAGCTCAGTGGCCTGAATCCTGCCTAGTTGGTCCCCTCCTTCCTCCCTGCAGTGGTTTGGTCTCTTTCTGAACACAGAAATCCTCAGAGGGAAAAATGCTCTGGAACATGCCCTGTGTCTTGGAGCCACCACACTGGGGCTGGAGCTCAGAGATCGGGCTTCTCCTCCTCCTAACCAAGAGGTTGTCCCATGGCTACTGCTGTCTCTTCTGCCTTTTTGTTTTTTGGCAGTGCTGGGGATTGAACCCAGGGCCTTCTGCATGTTAGGAAAGCACTCTACCACTGAGCCATATTCCCAGCTGTTCTGTTTTTTCTGTCTAGTTAACATGCATTTTTGGTGTTTTCATAGTTTATGCACCTTTAGAAAATATAAAAAGTTCAGGAAACTATAACAAAATACAAAGATCATCTATAGATCCACCATCAAGAACCAATTTCCATTGCAGTTTTGATAAATTTCCTTCATTTATCCTAGGAGTAGTGCATGTCACTTGTTGGCATGAGGCCTTTCAGACTTGCAATGTCTTGGAGAAATTGTGCAGGCTTCACCTTGGGGCCAGATCTTTGGCTTCAGCACAAAATCAAAGATTTAGACAAAAATAATCACTTTCTATACCGATAACAGAACTTCACTTTCAACAGGGAAAGTCCCGTAATTGTGCACATACAGACTATTAATTATTAGACTACTATTCTATGGTTTCCCTTCCTCCCCTGATTTTCACTGTTACCAACCTATTTCTTTTAGGCACTATTTAGACTTTACCTACTTGAAATGTTTGACTCATCTATTGTCATTCATAGCAGCCAACTGCTGGCTCAGACTTTGGTCCTGGCATAAAGAGACACGAGTAACATCTAACCCTCCACAAGCTGCTCATGGAGTGGTTGAGGAAAAACAAATACACACAATGGCACAAATATCTGTTATTTAAGTGGAAAAGAATCACCAAGAGTGGTGAAAATAATGCCTTATGGGACTCAAAGAGAAGGACACTTGCAGGTGGGAGCAAGGAGAAAACAACGAACAAGATGGTGTGAAAGTATGGTCATGCAGGGATGGAGAAAACCACCACTCTACGTGGGAGAAGAGCATGAACACGGCTTTGGGGCACAGGTGCAGAATAGTTACTGTAGTACTTACTGGGAATCCAGGCAGCCCAGGCACACCATCAGGCCCCTGTGACATACCAAAGACAGAGCATTTCCAGAGTCAGAGAGAATCGTGCCACAGGGGGCCACTCCCTCCCAGCCCATTTGCACCCAGTGAGCTCACTGTCCCATTTGGTGGAGGAGGATGCTGAGAGGCCCAGGAGGGAGAAGACCATGTGCTCAGAGTCACGCAGCTAGTTAGTACTAGGGCACATGCTACACTGGGGCCACTCAGACTAGCCATTTTCAAGGACCTGGGACACTAAGAATTTGTGCTTCATTATACTGAGGACCAGGGTCTCTTCCTGCCAACCCCAGGTACGTGCTGCTATTGAAGGTATAGGAGTTTGGCAGAAAAAAGAAAGACAGAGGGGAGGAGAGAGGGAGGGAGGGAGAGAGAGAGAGAAAGGAGGAAGGAAGGAGGAAGGGAGGGAAGGAAGGAAGGAAGGAAGGAAGGAAGGAAGGAAAAGAAAGAAAAGAAAAGAAAAAGAAAAAGGAAAAGGAAAGATGGGTAGATAAGATGTGACTGCTGCTGAGTACAATAAAACTTGATCCAGCATAGGGATGAGGGGGGCCTGGACTCACACAAGGCCAGGCCAACAGTTGGGAAGAGAGTAGGAAAGAAAGGAAGGGGAGGCATAGTAATGCAGGCAGACAGGGCCTAGGGACTAGCAGATCAGAGATGCCTACTCTTCAATTTTAAGCTGTACATGTCTTGCTTCAGCATCAACCCATCTATCACCCAAAACCTCCAATAGTTTGGGGATAAAAAAGACCCTCCATGAATGGGTTCTTGCTTATTAGCTGGTTTGCCATAGGGTTGATCACTGGGGTCTTTTGGATGGTGTTTTGTTTCATTTATTAATTTTTTCCTTCACACTGAACCATGTCCCCTGCTCTTCTTTTTGTAATTTTGATACAGGTTATCACTAAGTTGCCCAGGCTAGGTTTAAACTTGTGATCCTCCTGCTACAGACTCAAGGGTGCTGGGATTACAGGTGTGTGTGACTTTGCTTGGCTTGGATGGTATATTAATAGTGATCAAGGAAAGGGAGCCAGGTAGATGCAGTGCAGAAGAGACAGCAAGGTCACCCACAGGCAGGTGTTACTCCACAGAAGGAGAAAGCCAGGGGCAGAGGAGCCTTCCAGGTAACTACAGAAATCTTGGGGCAGATCCTGGTTTCCCCCGAGGATATGCACGGATGGATGAGCAGGCCAACCTCATTGGGATCTGCAGGGTGGGCAGCCCTAGTGGACATCTGCATCGCACAGCTGTAGAGGAGTAAGCCTGCCTCCAAGGTGATTTACACAGATCACAGAATACAGAGCACTTTCACACTCCTCACTTCCTATAAACTGCCCAAATCGTAGCACAATGCTATCAAGAAGGGAATCAGGGGAGGAAAGGGGGTGTAACCCTGAGGCTCCAAAAGCCAAAGCTTCCCTTCCTGGATTGTAGTGGGAGTAGGAAGCTTCCTTCCCCTTAGGTCCTGTTATGCCATGAGTCAGCTCTGAGGAACTGTGGAAGTAACACGACTTTCTTGTGTGTCAATTTCCTCATCTCTAAAGTGGAGCTAGAAAGACTAAAGCAAATCACATTCTCTCCTTGTGCTCCAGTTGCCCCATTAGCACAAAGGTAGCTCTTCTTGTTTTGTGAAATGAGACAATGCAGATAAAGGCATGGATATCAATTTGTTTGTTACTAGGATTCTGATTTCTGTTTTATCTGATGCAAAGGACCAAAAGCTTTGGCTGCATTAGACACAACTCTACACAATCAAATTATTGTGACAGCAACTCCTCAGAAATGTAAAGTTCCCTTTCTGTCCTACTTTGATATACGCTACCTCTATGCATCAAGAGCTAAAAAGATTCCAAACCAAGGTGGCATTGTTTCAACAGGGTTGGAAACCTCCCTGTAGGGCAACAGTGAATACAAACCGGAGGCCCTAGGAGCTCAGGAATGTTGGAGAAATTCAAGGATCCATGAGTGATGTTGACCAAAGACTGGAAAGAGAAAAATCAGACAATGAGCACAAAGAATGGCATGTGTTCTGCCTTGTTTCTGGCCATGAGGCTTTAGTTGAAGTCACCCAGCATGGCACATATTGTTAACACCCCAAAGCCAATGCCAAACACATTCATTCTTCCTTCTTCCTATCCAACAACTCTGCTCTGCCGTGCTGCTTTCCTCTTTTAATTAACTTTTAAATGACACACTACATGCATGCTTTCTCTTTTTAAATATATATGCACCCACAGAAAGCATATAGTGTTGGTGTGTGTTCATGTGATTAGTTTACATAAATGGCATCAGGCTTATGCATTATTCTTCAACTTGCTTTTTTCACTCAACCATATTGTGTGGAGATCTTTCCATGCAGAATTCTGGAGTATGTCTATTTTTAGTCTCAACAGACTGCCAAAGAGCCATCCAAAGGGGCTGTACAATTTACACTTTCACCAGAGCATACAAGAGACCCTATTTCCTCAAAGCCTTACCCACTCAGTATTTTTAAATCATATTTTTTTTTCCTTCTGACTCTACTCATCCTTTTCCCAGTTATTTGGAACTTTTTGTCTTTTTGTTGTCTATCAGCATGATGCTATTTCTCTCAGAAGGGTCACAATTTTGGGGGGGTACCGGGGATCCAACTTGGGACCTTGCGCTTGTGAGGCAGGCAGCAGCACCACTGAGCCAAATCCCCCGCAAGGGCCACAATTTTTTAAAAATACAATGGCTCAATATTGAGTAGACCATGATCTGATCTCTGCCCACATTCTAGCTTTCTCTCCAGATTTCCATCACTCACCTACTGCCCCCTTCAGCCAGCTCCCTGTGTCCCGGGCACACCCACACGGTCCTATTCTTTGCTTTGGCTCAGGGTGCCCCTCATACTTAAATTCTGGAAATTCTGTCCCTCATGCCTACCTGGCAAGATCCTTCTCAGTTCTGCAGGCCCTGCCCAAAGTCACTTCCTTCAGAAAGTCTTCCCTGTTTCTCATATTGCAAACCAGCTTTCTTCCCTTGTTCCTGCACTGTCACAGCCATTCTCCTGACTGCTCTGGGGGCTTTCTGTGTTCCACTATCTTTATATTTACAGCACCTGATAGAGACTCTATGCCCATGAGTATCTGTGCTAGAGCAGTGATGACAGGAATAGAGAATTAAATGACACCTCAAGTTTCACTCAGCTGACAGTGATGAAGCCTGCCCTAGACACCCAGCAGTGGGGATACAGAGAAGAACAGGGGTCCCAAGGAGAAAGTGGAAGAGACAGACATGTCACCAGGCCATTGGTGTATGAGGATGGGGATTTTAATATGAAGTCACAAGCATGTCTTACTGACTTCTCCGTTGATTCGGACTGGCAGAGAATGCTTCCCCCTACTTGTATGGAGATCATGTGGAGTATGGATATTTTTAGTTTTAACAGACCACCAATGAGCCATCCAAAGGGGTCGTCCAAAGATGCTTCCTTCACAAGAAGGGATGGCAGTTCTGGGAAGCAGTCACAGATGTGCTCAGCTTTCTCTTGGACCTGACTGTCTCCAGGAAACCCACCTAATGCCTGGCAAGCAAGTCTCTTTTAGGGTGAGTCCACAGAGCAAAAGCCTTCAGTGCAACTTCTTTGGGCAATAAGGTGGTCTTTGGGCCTACCTCTTCATCACTGGCTTTATTTCTCAGCTTGTTCAGAAGCTGTCTGGGGAAGATGAGTGCTGCTTACTTAGGGTTTCCTTGAGACTTTAATAGCTCTTGTGTTCCTAGGCTGCTTTTTGAGTTTACCTCAAATGCTACCAAGTAGAAGAGAAGGTTCTGGAAGTGCTGTGAGAGCAGTGGCACCAGAACAGGAATAGACAGGTGAAGCAGGCTGGCAGGTGGACGCTCTAACACCAGATACTGGCTATGTACAGCAGCCCCAAAGCCCTGAAGTGGTGGACAACCTACTCCCCTACCTTCAGCAAAGGCAGAAAACATATAACCAAGCTCTGACCCGAGGGCTACTCACACTAGACAAGATCTCGATCCGCCCAGGGGGACCCCTGGGTCCTGGAGGTCCCACAGTGCTGATTCCATCCAGTCCCCTTTCACCCTGGTTACAGGAGTAAAAAGTGAAAATAAGTAATTGTGCACGTATAAGAACTTTCTGTACATTTCCACAACTAGGCTGGGAAGTTCTCCCACCCCTTACCTCAGATCTGCGACCTTACCTTGGGTCCCTGGTCTCCTTTGTCTCCTTTGAGACCCTGAAAAAATAAACAAGTAGATAGATATTTTTAGTTTTCTTCTATTCACTTTGTTCACTCTTCACTTTTCCTCGGATTTTATTGTCACTCCCTAGCCCCTCCGGTGGATTTTGTTCCAGGAAATGGCAGCAAAAGATAAAGGGCAAATTTCTCTTCCAGAGTTGAAGGAAGGAGCCCCCAGGGAGAGTGAGGGACTGGAGGTTCTCTCTCAGCACTGGGAGTGTCCTCTTGACTCGTCAGAGCCCTCTGCATCTGGAGAGGCGGATGTCTGAATATTCAGTCACAGAAGGTGCCATGCTGTTCTCTTCTGGGTATGGCTCTGAGTCTTATGTGACAAAGACCGTAAGGGGTGGCCCTCATGAGAGCAAGCATCACAGGAAATAAAGACTGCACCTCCTGGGAACAGGTGCAGTAGGGAGCACAGGGTTTTACAATGGGACAAAGTGTGAGTATTGAATGGGGCAGCTGGAGGGAGGCAACGAAGCAGAGAGGCTTTGAGGTAAGGAAGTGGTGAGAGAAAAAGATGATTTTCAAATTTTCCCACATAGTATTTTGTGCAAAAGTCTGTGGGGGTCCCCAGGGACATAGGCTAAAAAGAGCACCCCATAGGCAATACAGTCTCCCTGTTGCACAGCTGGGGGCTGACAGCACAGAGGGGATGAATTATTGGAAGGGGTAGAGCCAGTACAGCCTCCCACCGCCGCCTCCTCACTCTGATGTGACAGCAGAACAATCCTTACAGGAAGGTTTCAAAGGCAACCTACACTGGAAACAGTTGGCCTGGAGATTCTGGGTTCATTCAGCAGCCTGATATTTCCCGAGCCCTCAGTATCCTGGGGACGAAGGAAGAATAAGAACTTCAGATCTGACTGTTCAGCACATACCTGTGCCAAGTGTAGTGTTGGCAGCTGGGAGCCCAGAGAGAATCAACACAGCCCCTGCCCTTGGAACAGCATTTAGAGAGCTGCTCTTTCCCAAAATCCTTACTGCACATCATGCTTTAACCACAGAAAGGGGGAAGAGTACCTCAAATTCCAGTCCTGTTGCACATCCAGGACCTGGGGGCCCTGGGGGTCCAGGGGGCCCCGGAGGTCCCGTGACTCCAGGAGTGCCAGCTTGTCCATTTTTCCCTGGGGGCCCTGGTAAGCCTCTGTTGCCAGGGTCGCCCTGTAAGGAAGAGGACAGGCTGATCACCAGCCCCAGATTTACTCATGGGAGAAATGGCACACACACACCTGGGTTGGATAACACTCTTTAAAGTTAACTAGTTTGATGAATTCTCTGACTAGTACTGCTCAATGGCACAGAGACAGCTGTCTTGCTAATGGACTTTTTGCTTGGAGAGAAGCTGATGTGCTCATTTGAATGGATTCAAAGGGAGGCGGTGAGAAAGGGGAAACATTGCAAGGTATTCGCTCCCCACCATCCCCAGCTACCCCTCGTGCCCTGAGCAATTCCTCCAAGGTGTGTTTCCCACTGCTCCTTGACATTCATGTGTTTAGCACTTCAACTCAACGGTCTGAGCAATGATACCAAACCCAAGATAGGTGAGGAGGGCGAAGAAAGCTGCTTTGCTTTACCTTTTCACCAACTGAGCCATTAGGCCCTCTTGCTCCCTGAAAAACACAAACACAAGGGCCAATGAGTATATATTTCCATTAGGTATGTTCAGAAGAAAATGCAGAACTATGGACCCTGAAGCAACAGAATATTTTCAGGGGTTTGGCTGACTTCTCCACTCTAAACAAATTGGAATAAGTGGCAGTCTGCTAAGTGAGTCATCCTGAAAGCTTGTGAAACCCATTCTTCAGCTACTAGCTCATTCCATGTCTCGAGAGCAAACCAGAGAAGTTGGAGATGAGTCAGGGAGAGATCACAGAATTCCTAAGAGAGCTGTCAGGGCACTGAAGCCATAATCCTCTTTCCCACCCCTCCCACGGCAGAGGTGAGGGGTACTTCCCTTATTCTAAACCAAGACAAGGGGCTCAAGAATTGACATGTAATCCCCCAGACTTTTAGAAATATGGAGAATGAAGACTGATTCTATTCTAGGAAGATCTAAAGAACAAAAGCTGACCAGAATGGCCTCCAGGGGACAGAAGTGTAGAGGTTTCACAGGAACAGTTTACATGTCTACCCCCACAGGGAATCATGCAATTATGGTTTCTGGGGGATCAGAAATGGGTCCCACAGAAAGAAGCCCCAAATAAGCTTCCAGAAGAGCAAGGGACCCACAGGGGGCAGGTGGACAAGAGTGGTCCCTAAATCAGGTGATAGTAATAGGGGAACCCAGATGGATAATTTGGAAGAGACTACAAATACACCTGCAAGAAATAAGCAGCAATTGCACGGTCGTACAGAAGACAGCGACATGATTATGTTGTGACAGCCATATAAAGCTGTGTGCCCTCAGCTCCCTTTTCCTGGGCTAGAGTCCCCTTCCTACATCAAATCCACAGGAAAGCCAGAAAGTAGTTGTAAAATATCTGTGCTCAAAAATAAGAAGGGAATCGCTTTGGACCTGAAATGAGGATGCCAAAGGGAGACAGATGGGAAGCTGAAGACAGAGGCCTTAGCCATGGCGAGAAACCACAGGAAAAAAAGCATCCCGCAAAATGGCGGAGAAAGACAGGAGTAGGGTGGCCTACAGGCCTCTGACGGGAGACAGGTTGAAATTCTGCAGCAGGATAGCCACCCAGCTCCTGTCACTGACCCTCTGCTCCTACTGGGTCACAGAGATAGGGTAGAGCCTATGATTTGGCTCCCCTGAAAGGGCCAGAGGCACCCAAAACGCAGATCCACCACTGACATACCCTGCTTGATGGTATATCCTACACTTTCCACCCCTTCCTGAGACTCACAAACCTCAGAGGTAGCTACTTGGTCCACCTTCTCAGTGGTCAGTGCAAACAGAGGCAGAAGATAGTCTAAAGCAGGATCCCAATGTCAAAAGCAAACACATGAACAAGAAATACCAAACACGAGGAAAAGCAACACTGTGAAAGAAACACAACAAAGCCAACAACAGAATATCCAGCGAAGAAAATAGTGTGAAGAAAGTAGCCCAATTTGGACTTTTAAACTATACAATATACATTCTCAGAGAGAAAAGAAATGTTATAACCACAGAACAAGAACAAGCTATTAAAAGAATAGTACGAAATAGGACCAATTAGAGATCTTGGAAATAAACATATATAAGTGTTCAAATAAAGAACTCATAGAGGGACTGAACAACAGAACAGACACACCTGAAGAGAGAATTAACAGGAAAGCTCGGGCTACAGATTTCTCACAGAAAGCAACATGGGAGGATAGGCACCTAGAAAGAACAATAAAAAGACAGCATCAGAATCCCAATACCTGTTTAATTGGAGAAGCAGATGGAGAGGATAAAGAGAACAGAAAAGAGGCCAGGGCAAGACAACTGCCTCCTGTCTGAGGCACACCTGGGCACGGGAAAGGCCCAGGCTCTCACAGTGGCAGGTCCTTTGTCCTGTGGTTGGAGACCCTGCTCAGCCCTTGGCCTGGGAATGGGGGACAGAGTGGGGAAGAGAATGAGGTCTTGGCAGATGGACCAGGCAGGTGAGTGACAGAACTGCTGCCCTCAACCCTCCATTGGGCCCTGAGGTGGCTTGTGGAACTCAGGCTGCCTCCCTGGCCCGGGAGCCAGTGGAGCCACCCTGGCTATCTGGGAGGTACTGGGTGAAGGAAGCAGCTGAACCTGGGACCGTTTCCCTCCCTCTGGCCAGTGCTCTTGGGAAGAAACTGAGGCCAGAAACATGACTCAAATAACAAAGTTCCTATTTTGCTGCCTAATCTGGAGGCTCCAGTTTCTTCTGTCAGCTTCTCTTCGTGTGATCAGTTGTGCCATCACCTGCTGCCATCTGTCCTTGAGGGAAATGCAGGCCTTTTGCTTCTTCCCAGCAACAAATCAAACCACTGTCAGGGCTACTGTGACACAGAAGCTAAAGTAGTCTCATTGCTGAGAACCTGACAGTTGTCTTGCCAGTTGATCTAATTAAAGAAAATGATGATTATAAAGTGAAAAACTATTTTTTCAATTGCTTTCACTATTTTTTATAGTCAAGAGTGCATTTTGTAGCAGTTTCAGAGGAAGTCCCAGAAGATATTTTGGACTCTGATTTATCTGAAACAGAATTGTTTATCTGAGAAATAGATGGCTTTACCCAGACTGTCCACAGTGAAAAGATGGAACTAGTAGACATTCCACTGGCTTGCAGATGTGGTGACCAGCAGTTCCCTGAGTGAATCAGTTTGAGGATGGAAGGGCCTGCCTTATCAGAAATTTCATGAACAGACTGGGTGAAAATTGGAGCTCTGATGAAAGGCTCAGGAAAGACTCCTTACTTCCAAAAGTTGGGATGGCTGAGTCCTTCATTCCTTAGACAGAGCTTCTGTGCTGGGAGGCTGTGAACTGTCTTGGAATTCCAACCAGCAGAGCCGCAAGTGTGGCTATAAGTAATACAACGCAGACAGATAACTCTGCGATGGAAGTTTCATAGCCATGCAGCATGCTATGAAATTGTGGTTTAAAATTCATTAGACTTTGAACTGGAATAGTAAGCTGATTAGTACAACTCAACATACAGGGACATCAAAGAAAAGAACAGGTACATGGGTCTTTTTTTTCTATCGTGGTATCTCAGATTGTGAGTGTCTTGCTCATGGTGTTTGCAATACGAACAAATTCAGTTTGTTATCCACAACAACTGACAATGGTTATTCAGTTCTAGGGAAGCCTATCTTCCAGATGCTCTGCCAAGGACATCTGATGATGAAAGAAAACATAAAGGAAATCAGGCAAATAATGTGATGTTTCATTTACATATGTTGTTACAAGCTCTAAATTGTTTACCGGATTCTAGGCAATAGCAGCTTACTGCTCAAATGATTCTGCTGCTGCTGCTTCCTCTTCTCCTTCTTCCTCTTCTTCTCCTTCTCCTTCTTCCCATCCTCCTCCTCCTTCCTCCCCCCCCCCCTTTCTTGCACTGCTGTGGATCTAACCAAGGGAGATGCCCATGCTAGGCAAGCACTCTACCATTGAACTGTAACCTCACCCTGCTCAGAGGTATCCTGCTTTTTGATTATAGAAGAATTAGAGAATTGTTTAAAGGCAGGTTGGGGTTACTTGGAGAAACAGGAAGCGGTAATGATTTTTTTGTATTTCTCTTGCATCTTATGGACAAAGACAGAAGCTGATTTTATAATGAAATGTTGGGCCCAATGAAATTACTCCAAGCTCATTTCTGGGAGTGCAACATCCCTTAGCAATTCTGGTTACTGAAGAAAATTTCATAGCACAGACTCTTTTCTGCCTAGGTGTTATGTACTTTCTGAGAACTAAGAAAAATACAAATGACCTAGATTCTGAAAAAAGCAAACAATGACCACCGTTTATCTAAAAAAAAAAAAAACTGTCCATGTCCTCCAACAAGTTCTTCAGCACCCCTTCCAGAGTGATCTTATGTTCTTAGAAAGCAGGCCACTCACATTCATCCTTTCTTAAGCTAAAGGTCTTAGAGTTAGCGACTCACCTTAATTTGGGGGAAATAAACTAAGGAACATTTCTACCATTTTGATGACAATCCTATTTTTTTATAATAATACTATCTAGCTAAATGAATGAAACCTTATTCTTTGAGGAGAAACCCACACTTTAGACAACTGCCTGGACTGGTCTACATGTTCTGCAAATAAGAAAGGCAGCTAACTTCATCAAAGCATGAGGAAAACTTCCCTACAAGTGGATCGATCCAACCATGAAGGCTGCCCAGGCAGGGAATGAGACTCCTGCCACTGGAGTGGAAAGGACAGGAATTGTGAAGGGCAGTCAAGGATCAAATGTCTCATTGGACTGTGTGTTCTGTAACTGTGCTGAGATCACTCATCTTCTTTACTTTCTGTACTTCTTGTTCTCCTCCAGCTCTCGAAATGCAAATTCCCTAGTCCTTCTAAAAAACACCACTACACACAATGCAACAAACTCAGACTCCAAACAAATTTTAGGAACAAACCAACCAGCAAACAAGACTGATCTCCAACAGGCACCCTGGGAAGCTACCACTCCATGCTCATCTGAGCAGCTAATTCCCCAAACTGCAGAGCCACCTGTGGCGAGTTTTGTGTGCAGACATGGGCAAGGGTACCTGTAGATTCCAGACAGAATGTGGGAGGGTTGGGTGGGGCCAGGGGAACTTGTAAGAAGAACAGTGGGGTTTCCTGGAAAATTTAATTTCTTATGAAAAAGCTGGTACATGTAAAATGAAGTCTCTATAGCTCAACAGTTGTTTCTTTTTCTGAGAAATGTGATTTGCATGAAAACTGGGTTACTGTTGAATTAAACATATTTGAGAGCTGAAAGAAACTGGAAATTTAGCTCAGGGACCATGGTGTCTAGGCAGTTGGTATTTTCAGTGCCTTCATGGACCAAGGGGTGCTCAGAGGCACAGCTCTCATCCCAGTGGGAAGAGGCCCTCCCTCCTCAGAACCCTTGTAGATCCCTCTCACCACATTGCTAGTACAAGGATCCTTATTTTTATGACCTCTCTTTGCCAGCATTGCTTATCTTATCTCAAGCAGGCTGGCAAGGAAAAGGGGTAAAAATTCTCCCATCCCAGCATCAGCCAAGGCTTACAGACAGAAGACAGGACAGGCCTACAGACACAGAACAAGGAAGGAAGGCAGGCTGGACTCTGGGAATGGCAGGTCAGTATGGTGACTGAAAGAAGCTTCATTCATCAAACATAAATGGAGGTCTGCACTAGGTGCTAAGGATACAGAGACTACTATGTATCTATGTCAGGGTGGGGGTGAGGGACAGATAGGTCAGCTAACACCTTCAGTGTCACTGGCTAAGAAGGTTCCCAGCAGCTTAAACATTGGGCTGAGAGAAGGCAGGAAGGAGGGGTATTTTCTACTTTTAGGGAGAGTTTCCCACGGGATATTCAGCAGTGCCCTCACCCCAGCTCACAGTTCCACAATTGGCAGTTTCAGTTACCCAGTCAACCACAGTCTGAAAATATTAAGTTAAAAAATGTCAGAAATAAGCAATTCACAAGTTTTAAATTGTGTGCCATTCTCAGTATCAGGAAGAAATCTCGTGCTGTCCAGTGCCATCCTGTCCTGGGCGTGAATCATCTCTTTGGTCCAGTGCATCCACACTGTATATGGTGTTCACCCATCAATTTTTAGTAGCTATCCTGGTTATCAGCTTGACTATTACAGTACTGCAGTGTTTGAGTTATTATTTTACTTAATAATGTCCCTAAAGTGCAAGAGCGGGGATGCTGACAATTTTATTAGTCTATTGTTATAATGGTTCTATTACATTATTAGTTATCATTGTTAATCTCCTATAGTGACCAATAAATGAACTAAACTTTATCATAGGTATGTACGTATAGGTAAAACATAGTACATATAGGGTTTGTTACTGTCCGTGTTCCAGGCATTCACTGAGAGTCTTAGAAATAGCCCCTTAGGAGAAAGAGGGGGACTACTATACATGAACTGGGCCCTGCAAGATGAGAAAAGGGAAAGGACATCCCAGACAGGACGAGGGACAGACAGGTGAAGGACAGTGCAGGGCCTTGGGCTGGTAGTGAAAGGCATGCCCAAGCCTCTCAACAGGGCTGGCCCCTGTCTGGGGCCACGTGAGGGGAGAGTTGTCAATAAGCTAGAGAGTCAGCTGGTACAGACTGGGAATGGTATGAAGGCTCTGTCTGGCAGAGACAGTGGACAGAGTAGTGGGCGATGAGGGCCTGCTATGGAAAGCTGCATCAGCCAAGGATGCAGGACAGGCTATGGGTGGAGCATGGGCACCAGTGAGACCCCCAATACCATGGTATGGGCAAGAAGAAAGATCAGATCAGGGTGGAGAGAAAGGTGGGAGATATGGAGGTCAGTCTTGGTGGCAGGGGAGAGAGGGAAGGAGGAGCTGGAGAAGGCTCCATATCTGAGTCCAAGTCATCTGGTAGATGGCAGCACTGTTCATTGAAGCTGGGATGGACAGAAGCAGGCCAGGAAGATACTGAGCATGGATCTGGGATAATGAGTCTCACAGTGGGGAGGTCTAGCAGAGGTGATCAGTCTGGAATCACAAAGTCAGTCATTCATAGAAGAGGCAAGATCACCTTTAGGGGCCAGAGAGTGTGGCTTTGGCGGCCCCCAGTGTTAGAACGCTCCCAGCTTCCCCATACCTTCTCCCCTTTCATCCCAGGACGCCCCACAGCTCCATCAAGTCCAGGCTCTCCTTCAGGGCCCTGGGAAACATTAAAGACAGTCAGTCCACAACATCTCCAATGAGAGTCACACACCCTTCCTAGAAGGAGGGCAGCTGGGGAGCTGGATGAGGTGGGAGGCCCAGGGCCTTATCTCGGTCTAGAAAGAGCACCAGTCCTGGCCCAGCTGGGCTACCACTGGCTATGCCCCTTGGACAAGCATCCTTCAGTCTCTGGGTCACATTTCCTCCTTCGTGGGGACAAGGCAGGTGTGGACTTGATGGTCTCCAAGGGGCGTCCACCTGGGCCAGCTCTGGGGTCCTATGGTTCCCAAGTCCAGCGCAAGCCTGCACTTCCCACACTGACCACCAAGGAGCAAGGAAACAACACATATAGGATGCTGCTTCGCAAGAGGCGCAGCAGCCGACCAGATGAGGAGGGCTTTTGCTCACAAATGTTAGCTAGCTGATCTCTCCCAGCCTTACACAGTGCCAGGGCCTGCATCTATATAACCCTCCTTGGCTACAGAGAGAGAGAGGGGACTTTAGTTGCTTACCGGGAGCCCAGGTTCACCAGCAGCTCCATCTTCTCCAGGAGAGCCAGGAGGCCCCATAAGAACATCAGTTCCTGGTTTTCCTGGAATCCCAGGTAAGCCAGGTGGTCCTGGAGGGCCTGGGAGACCCTAGAAAACAAGGCATTCCGTTAGAAATAAGGGAGTGGGGAGAAATGTATATTGAGCATGTATGTTTGCACATTCTCTCCATTCCTTAGAACAACCCTACAATGAGAATTGGTGTCCACTTACCAGATCGGGAGACTGAGGCACAATGAGATGTGACTCAAGGACTCAACTCCACATACAGCTTGTTGTGTAAAAGCTGGGATCTGAATCTAAGGTGTTCTGAGCCCATTACACTGTGTGATCTATTGTACAGATATACACAATAAAGATCCCATTGGTTGGGCTGCCCAGAGGAGCTCGAGCTGATTTAGCTTTCTGATTAACTGTGAGGTCAAACACTGCCTGTTTTTTTTGGTACCGGGGATCAAACTCCAGACCTCGAGTTTTCGAGGCAGGTGATGAAACCACTGAGCTAAATCCCCCACCCATCACTGCCTGTTGTCCAGCCTTGTGATTGGCTCTTCCCAAAGTATACACATCTCTGTAGTCTCTTGCTAGGCTGGCTGATCTCACCAGCCCAGAAGGTCCCAAGAAGATTCACTAGGATCCAGTTCCACTCGTGGATGAGATCAGAACCCTTCCAGCCTGGCTATAAGGAGTCGGCAGGGGGCCAGGCAGCCAAATGGAGCTCCTGACTGGGGGCTCAGAGAAGGCTGCAGAGAAGGCTGGGCCTGCAGACAGAGCAACAGCTGCAGCTGGAGAGGGAGGCACTCCTTTGGTGGCGATTGAGAGAGACTGGTGGAGTCCAGCTTTGGGCAGGAGGCCAAGGGGCCACAGGCTCCAAGAAGGAAGGAAGAGCAGACTGCAGGGGGACAGCGGAGGCTGCCTAAGGGTAGGGAGGATTGCAAGCAGGGTGTGGAAGTCAAAAGTGCAAACGCTATCCAAAGAGGCTAGGGGGTCTCTTTAATGAAAAGGGAGTGACGGGATGAAAGAAGGAATTAAGATGTGTGAGGTCCGTGTACCAACTCCACACAAGGAATGTAAACTTTATGTACTGCAAACACCTCCCCTCCAAAAGGAAGAGGATCGAGATGGGTAGAGGGGGAGGGAGGGAAAGGGAAGGGATGAAAAAGGAATTAAGATATATTATGGACATGTGCCAACTTCCCACAAGGAACGTAAACAGTATGTACTACAAATACGTACTTATAGAAATAAGGAAATCCTTAAAAAGCAAAGAAAAAGGAGTGAGGCGGGTTGGCTCGGGCAAAAGGCAATGTGTGGAGGTGAAGGTTTGGGGCAAACGTGCTGCTGGAGCCGCTGCCAGAGGAAGGCACAAAGTGGAGAAGAGGAGGCTCTCCATGTAAATCCAGACTCACACTTACTTAAAGTAAGACAAAACTGACCGAAGCAGAAAGTTTCAAATGCATACAACAGTAAAGAGCAAAGTGTAACAAATCTCCGAGAACTCATCAGCAACAGTCCTCAGCACTGACCCTCTGCTTTCATCATTGCTGCTCCCACATCTTTCCCTCTGGGTCATTTTGAATTTAGACACCAGATGGCATCACCCTTCACACTCACCCTTAGGAACTCCTCTTGGTCCACCAGGTCCCCGGAGCCAGAGCCGATGTCCAGGGCCCAGCCCAGGCCAGAGCCCACTGCCTCGGTACCCACCTGGGAAGAGAAGAAATTCCCAAAGCTGGACTCCAAGTCTCCAAGGACAGCCACATCACTGGACATTTTCCCTACGTCACGGCCCCATAACTTTTGCCACCCATTTGCCCTCTGGCCTTTTCCCCACTCCAGCTGCCCTCCTCCCTCCTTGTTCACCCCAGAGTGGCTGGTTCTCAGCCTCCTTGCCCACATTTAAACCCCAACTCCAAGCCCAGTTCTACAGTTGTCTCCTTCGTGAAGTCCTCTGCACCCCTCTTCCAGAAGCAAAAGTCACCTCTCTTTCTTCTGGGCTCCTCTGGCCTCTGTTCAAGGGCCCAGTTAGGTGCTAGTACTACCCGACTCGTAACTTAGTTGTTGGTGTGTCTGTCAGCCCCTCTAGACTAGAAAAGGTCCAAATATGTGACCTCCTGCATGTCCAGAGTCCAGCACAAGCTCTGGCACTGCAAAGGCCCTCGGTGTGCACCTGTCATTGTGCACAAAGGCCTCCAAAGAAGCAAAGGAAATTTTCAAAATGCCTTCCTGGTACTGAGTTCCTGAAGACAGGAGGCAGGCAAGGCTTCCTTGGATCACTCAATGGATGTACACTGAGCACCCACAAAAAGGTTTCAGAAGGAGCCGGGCGTGGGCTACGAACGGGCGCATGGAAATCATGTGGTAGGCTTGTGGAGTAGGAGAGGGGGTGGTGAGGGAGGCAGGGGGACCAGGCTATTGCCCTCTCTGTCCCAGGGAAGAGGAAGCACTGCAGGCTAGACTTGGAGAGACCAAGGGACAGCCTGGTTGGGGAGTGGGAAGGAGAAGATCCCTTAAGGACATTTCCTGTGTTCCCCCCTTGGTGACAAGATAAATGCAGTGCCATTCTTGCCACTCTCAGGAGTGAGGCATCGGTTGGCAGGGAGCAGGTCTGGGCCAGAGGTGGAGGTTCAGCTTGGAACATGTTGAGTTGGATGCAGGATAGAAATGAATTCTCATGCTGAGTACACTGCAGGATTCTAGTAGAGGCAGGAAGCCCTGAGTTTTGACCAGAAGATACTTTGGGAGGCTGTCTTTATACATTGTGGGTCCAGCAGGCCCAGAAATTCCAGGGACCAGAGAGTCCCTCCCCAGCATTGTCCGAAAGAGAACAAAATGGTCCAGGAATAAATCATCCCCCCAAACTGTCCTCTTTCTCTTCATAGAAAGGGGCTCATCTTTAAGATCTAGATCATGCACGAGTAAAGAAAGACTAAAGGACAGTGGAAATATTGACAGTGAAATCCCAAAATACGAAGTGGCCAGAGGCAGAGAAGAAGAAAGACAACACCATCCCAGCCTGTTCTCTCTTCCCACACCCAGGTGGACACAAACCTGAAGCCCTAGGGCTGGAGCCATCTTGCCTGAGAACCTCCTCCACAAAGCCAAGGAACTGAGGAGGGGTAGGGAGGCAGGGCCAGCATGGCAATGGGAAAGGCAATGCTGCCTAGGGCAGGGGAAGCTCCCTGAGTGTGACTTTCTGGAGACCACAGACCGGGGTCACTGTGATGCACCCCCTTGGAAAGGGTTTTCCAACTAGCAGTTATTTTAATAAGAGGACTTCATTATCTTTCTACAGTGACCGAGGTAAGACAGTATTTCCATAAATGTCACCTCATTTTATCGTGGATGAAATTACCACCACCCCCCATTTTATAGATGAAGAATCCAAAGGGAAGAAGTGGGAAAGGAGCGTCCTGAGATCCTCCAGCTGCTAAGAGGCAAATCCAGGACTGTAGTCCTTGGAAGCTTGTTTACGAAATACTTTCCTAGGTGGAAAATCGGACAGTTTGACCCACAGAGCACTGGCATTGGAAGGACCCAGTAACAGATAAGAAAGAGGCCCGCAGAGGCCAAGGGAGTCGGTCAAGGTCACTGTTGGTAAGAAGAGTCAGAACTGTTCCTGTGCTATTCTGGGATTTCTCTTTGAGGCTCAGTCCTCTTGCCACTTCTGTCCTCACCTTGATTGAATGGACTAAATTAACCCCAAATAACATGCTCAGCACCCTTGCTTGGGAGTCAGTGTGCCCTCCAGAAAAATCATAGCACAAACCTTTTCTCCTTCAGGTCCAGACTGTCCTTCCATTTCCCCATGTACTAGTTGAGCCTGAAACAAGATTTGGTTAATAACTGGTCACAGGGTCTCTGGAACATGCAGCTGCTGAGCTCTGATGACTTTCCTGGCGCTGGCCAGTGAGTTGGGCACGGGTTGGGGGTTGTACTGGGCTAGAGTAGGTGAGAAACCATGGTCACCGCTGCAATCCCTGTACCTAGAAGACCACAGCCTCTTAGTATCTATTTACCAAGTGACTATGGAAAGACCATGGCATTTGGAGTCATCCAGACTTGACAATCGGTCTCATCTTTTGCTAGTGTTCCCCAACACAGATTTAAAAGTATTTAAGTTCATTTTAAGGGCAATGTTTGCCCTATGTTCCCTAAAAGATTTGAATACCTCACCAGTCCTTCTAAATGGAATGACTCTTGTTTCAACCACTGTGGCCTTTGCTGAACAACTCTGGCTCTAGTCTGAGATGATGATGGAGGTCACTGTAGAAACCAAGCCAGAAAGCCCTAAGACCAAGGCTCTCATCCTGCCTGACCCCTGGGAACTGTATGACCTGGGGCAAAAGCCTAATCCTCTCAGCCTCATATGCAAAATAATTCTATTTAGCTAATTTGAACACATCCTTTGTGCTAGGCAAGGTTTTCCATGTATTAACTCATTTAATCCTCACAACACACGAAGAGGAAGGTGCTGTGATTATGACCCCCGTTCCACGCATGGTAAACGCAGACAGGGCAGGTGGAGAGTGGCAGAGTTGTGCAGGGCCAGGCTTGGATGCTGACTCTCACCCACCAAGCTGTACTTCGTTGGTGACTCAGATTCAAAATGATCCTAAAAGCACTCCAGAAGGCCTCCTCTCTTGCCATCATTATTGTGCTTTTACACCTTCTGATCGGGGACTGGGGAGTCCATTTCAGTTCAAGGCAGGTACCTAGCACAGGCACTGAACAGTGACTTGTCTTCATCGATCACATACAAGGATGTCACACTGTGTGCCCATTCACCTCTCCCTTTCTTTTGTCTTCCTCCCTTGGAGTTTTCAAAAAATCTGTTGCAACCATCGTTAAGTCCCCATGGTGGAAAACACCAAAATGCATGAAAAATCTACCAACCTCCCACAGTTACAACCACTTTGAGACAACAACCGCTAGTATTTAGGGAGGGTATTTCCTTCTAGGGTTCTTGCGTGTGAATATTTTTAAATACTGAAGACCACACAATAGACTCAAGATTATAACCAGCTTCTTTTACTTAACGTGATATACTGGGTATGTCCTCTACCATTAAATACCAATAAGAATAATGTTAAGAGCTGCATAATGTTCCATTATTTGAATATAATTTAATTCAATTAATCACCAATTGTTTGCTAATTAGTTCATGCCCAATTTTTCTCTACTATGAACATTAAAATCTACTATGAAATTAACATCCTTGTAAACAAAGTTTTTTTACATGTTGGACTATCTCCATCAGGATAAATTCCTGGACCAGAAGTTTCTGGTTGCAGTTTTATGGTGGTTAACTTATGGTTGTTAATATGTAGTTTTATGGTTGTTAATATCTGTGGACAAAGAGTTTCCCAGAAGCAATAAACCTTCAACACCCCCACCAACATAGCTGGCTTCACCAGGCCAACTTCTTAAGGCAGAAAATACAAAGAAATAAGAAAAACTGAGCCAGATTCTTCAACAAACCAATAGCAGAAAGAGAAAAGAAGGGGTAAAGACGGCTAGAGATTAGAAGACATCTGAGACAAATTAACCACATATTTAGATTCACAATCAAACAATCTAACTGGGAAAGAACATTTTTTTAAAACCAGGGAATTAAATAATATGAAGGAACTATTGTTAATTTTGTTAGAGGGACAATGACTATGTGGCTATGCAAAAAAAAACCAACAAACATTCCACATCAATCTATTACCAGCACACATTGACTTATTTACAATTTAAATGAAAAGATGTTTGGGACTTTTGAAAAAGACTCCAACCTTCCCCTTCTCTTCAAGAAGATGGTGGGAGGAGGTAGAACAGATAAAGCCTGATTGGCTACAGGATGATAACTGTTTAAACCAAGTGATGGCCATGTGGGGGTTACGTATGTCATTTTAAGACCCTTGGTCAATTTTTTAGATTTTAAAAAGTATTAAGATTTATTTATTTATTTTGGTTTTTTGAGACAGGGTCTTCTTGTGGTTTAGGCTGGTCTTGAACTCATCACATAGGACAGGCTGACCTCTTAAGTTTTAAAAAGAAAGAAGGCTCTACTAGCGCCCGCTGCAGCCCCACTCAGGAGCTCTGGCTGGGGTTTTTGCACATACCATGGGGTGGGGACTGCAATGGTGGGGGACACTGTGAGGGAGCACATTGTGTACTGCCATCACAGCTAGCTGGCGGCTCCCTCGCTAGCTGCCTGTGGTCCTTTCCTGGTGTCCCACCCCAGTCTGTCTAACTCTCTAGGTTGGCACTAGACTCAGACTCTGTAGGGCTTTAAGGACCCCTCCATCCCCTATGTGTATCTAATGTGCACTGCATTTAAAAGCAGAGTCCTCACTAGCCTTCCTCCTTTATCAATGATAGCAGGGAGGGCAGGGGCCCAGGTGGCTCAGGCCGTGCTGGAACCAGAACCTTGCCTCCTGGCTCTCCATCAAGGGTCTTCCCACCATGCTGCACTCTCACAGATGAGATCCCGGCTGGGTGATGCTCATGAGCAGGAGCCACAGGTCAGCAGGCTCCAGTCCACCTTAGCTTAAGCTGGCCACCAGTGGGAGGGCTTCCTCTAAAACTACTCACCTTTGAGGAGCTCTGTGCTTCACACGACTCCGGGATTCAAGAACTCAGTTTCCTTTTGGGTTTTTGCTTCATTTTGGTTTGGTTTGTGTGGTGCCAAGGATCAAACCCAGGGCCTCACACATGCTTGGTCACTGAGCTATACTCCCAGTCCTCCTCCCCCAGCCCGCCCCAGTTTTTGTTTTGAAACAGGGTTTTGCTAAATTGCTCAGGCTAGCCTTGATCCCAGGTTCAAGCAGCTGGGATTATAGGCCTGCACGACCACACTCAGCTGGGTTTCCTATTTCTAAAAGACAAATTTATAGCCCTTAAGTGGTGACAACCTCGTGTGTATACACAGTGTTCCCAACATTCTCTGACTTAACCTCAGTTACTCCCATTCACACACAGAAACAGGCTCAGGAAACAAAAAGGTCTGCTTAGGGTCACACAGCGGCATTCCAGAATCCTAGGAATCTGTGGAGGAGTGGGCTTGACAGGCCCCCACCACCCACCAACACTTCCCTCCCCCCAGTCCCGCCCAGCCCGGCAATCAGCTTTTGCATCTTCTAACAGCACTGCTTCTTAGAAGGATCTCATTTCAATTTTAAAAAGGCAGTCTGGGACCCAAGGCTGTGTCCCTTTGATTTTCACTCCCTACTTTTTCCTCAGCAAACTGCAGTTTCCTCAAGTGTGCCCAAAGGTTGAAGGCCCTAAAATGCTCAAATTTGAAAACCAGAAAAATGAGAACCCACATCCAAGAAGGCCAGGGCTGGTCTTCATCTTCCCTGTGATATCTGCCAACTCAAGTCTGTCCACCTGTACGCCACTCACCAGAGTGACCCGTCCCTCAGGAGCCGCTGTGGGTACCGGGAGCGGCAGCCCATCAGGGGGAGCGCTGCCAGTCTCCTCTCTGCCAGCGGTGGCCAGGGGCTCCAAGTCTTCCTTGTCATCAGGTACCTGAGAGGGAAACAACTGGAGAAGTCACTTGGGCTGCCGAGGTGGAGTGGGTGTGGTAAGAGTCATTTCTATGGTGAAGCCCATCTTCAAAACACTTTCAAACCTACATCACCCCTGACAGAAATCGCATCTCTTCCCAGGGCTCAGCTTCCAGCAACCTGCCCCACATGGGGCCACTTGTGTCTGAGAAAGTTCCTCTTGGTCAAAGCTAGGAGGTAGCAGGGAGGGACAAAAGCCAAGGCCCAACCCGTCTCTGTCACACTCCTGCCCTTGCACCCTGCCCCATCTGGCAGATACCTCCTAAGAGAGCCAAAGGGGGCATGCATCTCTGTGGAGGCCACTAACTGCTCCTGATCCAGGATGCTGACCTCTCTCTCCCATGAGCCAGAGGGGACGCTAGATGACACTTACAGAGGTGACCACTTGTCTCAGGGCCACTGTGGGTGTGAGAACAGCCAGGCCATCTGTGGAGGCCCTGCTGGCATGTGCAGGGGCCACTGTGGGTGTGAGGACAGCTAGGTTGTCTGTGGAGGCTCCACTGGCTTCCTCTTCTCCAGGAGTACTGAGGGGAACTTCTGTGGGAGCTGCAACTGAGGTTAACCATTCTTTGCCTGGACCCTGGAACAAAGCCAGCATGAGAGACGGTCCCAGGTGATCCATGCCCAGCTTCAGGGAGTGTGCAGGGGTCTGCAGGGAGGAAACCCCCAGGGCCAGCAGATCACTGGCAGCTCCTTCACTCCTTTCCCTTTGCACACTGAGAACTGTACTTCAGTCCACAGACCTCTTTCAGGGCATTCCTGACCCAAGTGCTTATCTGATCTTGGTCTTCATGTATCCAGTAATGGGGAGCTTACTACTTCGACTTTCAGACAGTTCTGTTCAAGTTCTGGTTTCTATTCAGCTAAGATGCAGTGGAACTGGGACCTGATCTCTTATGGCTTGTCTTCAAAGAAAAGGGAGAAGAAACAAAAGAGAAAGGAGAAGAAGAAGAGCACTGAAATCATCCACACAGCTGCCAGATGGCTTGGAGAGCTCAATCACTGCTCAGTCCCTGTGCTGCCACTGCAGTTTCCCTATGTGGACATTAGGCCAGAGCTGGGACGCTGCTTGACCAGTGTGACACAGACTGGGGAGCAGGTGTGTGGATGCCCTCAGAGGCAGGGCTGTTGGCCTTCGATGGCCTGGCTGCCCCTCCATGCATTCACTCGGCAAACGCTCATCCACCACCAGTCAGGAGGGAAGTGTAGCAGTAAATGGTGTCTGTGATCCCTGTCCTCGCTGCGCTTACACCCTGCTGAGAAGCCAGATATGATCTAGTGGCCAAGTTTATTATGGATCTAAATTGTGATGAGCCTCCTAAGGACAAGGATGGGGGCCTTGCCAGTGTGGAACGCCCCCTTCCAGAGGAAGCAGAGTTCAAGTTGGCTATAGGACAAGCAAGAATGGAAATAAGGAGAGGAAGAGAGGCTCTTGGCAGAGAGAAGGGGCCTGGCAAGACCGCAAGGCAAAAAGAAAGAGGCCTGCTCAAAAAGTGAAAGGGAGACAGGCTGGAACACCTGGGGCTGGGGACAGAAGAGCCCGAGACCCTGAAAGGCTTTGGGAGAGCTGGTTCTGCAGGTCAGGGTGAGGGACAGCTTGCTTCTAAGCAGGGGGCTGAAACTCCAGGGAGGTGTCATAAGAGAAGATGGAGAGGTCGGGAAGGGCCTCAGAAATTGCCTGGGCTGGGGACACACGATCAGTCTAGGGGCAGACACCAGAGGACAAAAGTGGGAGGGTTCACGACGGCTCTGGGCAGAAAAGTCAGTGAGACCTGATGCTTGATGGGACGTGAGATGTTAGGGAGAGAGAAGAGAGTTCTGCCTGTGGGAACACAGGAGTGGACATGGGCAGTGGGGTTTGAATCCTCAGAGTGGAGAACTAACTGGCGGGTGCCATTATAGGGACACCATGGGGACGGGCTTGCCCAAGGCCCTGGCGCGCTTGTATCCTGCACTCCAGGCAGACAGGACTGAGCAGCCCTGCCAGGATCTCCCTGCTGCTGCATCCTGACCCCTCCACCCAGCCTTCCGATAGCTTGTGGCCACTCCATTACCTCCCCCCGCATACAGACACCGCCTGTCACCTGGCTCCTGGCCCCTGCTGATGAGGGCAGAGGGTCCCCACTGGTCCCCTGTTCTACCCCACAGCAAGCTTTTAGTCCAGGAGGTACTGTGTCTCCATGTAGAGGCCTGCAGCTGTCCCGGCGCTTCATGCTCCTTACCAGCGTGGTCTCTTCCCTGGGGCTCTGGGTGGACATGGTGAGGGTGGGCCCCACAGTGGACACGCTGCCTGACTCTACTTCCCCAGCAGTGCTGACGGGCACCTCGGCCTCCCCTGCTCCCACTGCTGCTGAACCTTCTTCGTCCTCCAGACCCTGAATAGAAAGACGGCCCGAGGGACCATGTCAGCAGACCACACCCCTGATCCTCCAGGGCAGGGCCCCTGCTGCACCTTCATTGTGTAACTACCTGCCCTTCAAAGTGCACACACGCCACAAGACTCCCACACCTCCTCCCTGGTTCCCTACCCGTGCTGTTCACCGAAGGCCCTGCCACCCTCAAGAGACATGTGCCCACTTGCTGTTCCGCTCAGCCTCTGCCCTCTACTCCTGGGTGTAAACATCCCCCTGGTGTCTAGGTTGTTGTGCTGGGGTAAAAATCCAGGTTCTTGGCCTCCCCACGTCTTGTTAAGGGAGCTATTTACACTGTGGGTCACCTGGCCACTTCCTGCCTCCTGTTCCCCCTAACTGGGTGCCTGCCATCTGGCTTCCACCCCACTTCCCAAACTGCTCTCACCATGTTGTCACTCAGAGCCACATTTATAAATGCAATGGACACTTTTCAGTCCCTCACTCTGCAGGACTTGCAGCAGGATGCTACATGGTGGATGTTGCTCTAGAGCCGGCTGCTATCACCACTCACCTGGGCCCTGATACAGCCTCTGTGCCCCTCCCCAAGTCCAGGCTGGCTTCCCTGTCCTTTCCCTCTTGGAAGTCAGGGTGATCTTTCTAGAATTCCAAACTGTCTGCACCTCTCTGCTGTGTCTCACCCAGGTGGCTCCTGACTTCTGCTGGGTTCTCTTGGGCTCCTAGGCAGGGCCCCCAAAGCCCTTGTGGTCTCAGAGGCCTCTCCAGCCCCATCTCCCCCTCCTTCCCTCCCAGCCAACTCCTGGGGCTGCACAAGCTTCTCTGGCTCCTTTGAGACTCACAGGCCTTTGCTCCTGCTGGCCCCTTTCCGGTGCCCTGTCACACCGCCAGCGGCTCAGCTGCTTCTACTCACCCTCCCTCCAGTCTTGCCTTCTTACCTTCCAGACCCCCAGGGTTGAGTCTGGGCCCCTGGTGCTCCCAGAGCACCCTGAGTCTCCTCTCTTCACCTCTTACCACTGTGTTTCCTATCTGCCTCCAGTACCTGGAACCAGGCTGAGCGCCCAGCACAGTGTGGTGCTCTGTAAACACCTGCTGGGTGATACAGCATCAGCCTCAACCTCCTACTCTGAGCTCAGCAGCCTCGGCCCCACGTGGCTGTCCCTCTGCACTTTGCCAGCCACTGCTCCACCAGGACAACCTGACCTCCCCCAAAACGGCTCAAGTGGGGTGTGCACCAGGACAACTTACTGGGGCGGTCCCTTCCCGAGGGTTTAGGGTGGACATGACCAGGGTTGGTCCTCCTGTGGGCACGCTGCTGACCTCTGCCTCCCGGGCTGTGGTGATGGTCACCTCATCCTCCCCTATTGCTGTTGCTGCAGAGCCCTGGAAACAAGGACATCACAAAAGACCATATCAATGTGCCCGGGCCCCGATGAACATGCCTATGGCTGGAGAGAAGAGGCTGCCTGAGCCCTCCTGAACCTGTGTCTCTGTAGCTTCTTCCAATGTCTCTGACTTTGCCCTGGTTCCAGGCCAGCCCAGGATTGCAGAACACAGGGATATGAATGACTGCCCAGGCATCTCTGTCTTGTGTTTGATGCCTGTTCTGTTAGGTCACTGCCTCCTGAATCAGCCCCTCTCCCCAGTGCTGGACATGTCTGCCTAGATAAGGGGGTCTCCTGAGACCTCCACTAAGTACCCATCAAGACATCAAGACAATGTCTTTTCCCATGGCAGTGCTTCGGAGATGTGCCAGGGGCATCTCTGTCCTTCTCAGCCTTGTCCAGTCCTGACACTCCATTCCTTCTCTCCCTGTGTCATGGGAACTGTCCTCAGGACCTTAACCAACGTGACTCCCTCTTGCAGTGGGCCCCTCCAGTGTGGCCGTCCGGTGGGCTCCACTAGGTGCTGAAGCTGTGCGCCACGCTCCCTCACTCCCATGGCCAGCAGTGCTTTCTGAGACTGGGGGAGTTTCCTGATAAGGACAGGATGAGAGCAGAGCACACACCACTTTTCCCAAGGACGCTCCTTGCTCCGGATTCTGCGTTTGCCCTCTAAAACCAGTAGCTTAACAAAGGAGGGTTGATGACTTCAGTGGTGCTACAGCCCACACATCTGCAAGTCACCCCTACTAAACTCATGTACGTGCCAGGCTGGACTTGTCTGAGTTGTTCACTAGACTGTCAGTGCCCTCTCAATTCAGAGGCAGCCATTTCTTTCATATCTCTCCAGCAATACATGCAAAACCCCTACAACACCCCGTGACCCACTTTACCCTGGGCAAGGAACAGGAGATTCTCTGAAGGTTGCACAGCAAATAGAGAAAATGGAAAGAGAGCAACTTTGATTACAATGTCACCAAAGGGACTGTGTTTTATCTGTTTTCTAAAATTTTGTTTTTTCAATTTTTTTTTTTGCGAAAGAGTAGTTCCTTTGTATGCTAAACAAATAGACCAATCAAAGTTAGCTAGATCTCCTAGCTGCAGGACCCCTGAGAGCCTATAAAAAAAGGGAAGACAGAATGAACTATTTCCCAAACTTATTTGACTTCAGAGCCCATTCTTCACAGAAGGTATTAAGTCCTTGTAGACTTATCCTAAAAAAAAGTTGGAAGAAAGATGATGCCACAGGATATCAAATAAGACTTTCTTTGACTCAGGTCAGCTAAAGCCCTAAGTACAAGTATAATTCCATAGGCATCAGGTAACTCCCACTCACTGAAAGAAGTGGGCAGAGCCCTTAAGGGGCCTGCTAAGAGGCTGTGATGACAGCAGTTCTACCAGCATCAGCCCATCCCCTACCTGCAGGCCCTGTAAGAAAAGGGACAGAATTTACTGTGCGGTTGAGTGACAGAAGGGGAAGAATTCTTTTGGAGAGAACTTTCATCATGTCTCCCATCCCACTACAAACCATCTGGCGAGTGGGACATGCATTCGGAATTTGGGAGACATAGGGACTGGTGTGTGACTATTTCCAGGGGAAGACAAAAGGTGAAGGGTGGGGGTATCCAGATCCAACAGGAGGGAGAGGAAAGTGTGGGAAGAGAGGTGAGGAAGTTATTATGAGGAAGCCTCACTGGATTTATTTTCGCACACTACTGTGTCCAGCATTTCAAAAGCTGCCTTTGTAGGTGTAAAAGCCAACTATGGAACAATAGCATGAACACACCTGCAGTGAATGTGATTCTGTCCTGAAAGCACTGAAAGCACCGGGGAGGCTATACTCTTCACGATGGAGCAGGAGGGAGGTGGTTACCATGGTGAGGAAGAGCGTTCATCACCAGGCAGGTGTGAGCACAGGCTGAGGCTGGGCTTCTTTCACCTGTCCTGGTGTATCCCTGGAGCCCTTGACTCTGGCCTCTGCCCTACCACGAAGACAGAGTAGTCTTGGTGACTTTCAATTACACTCTCGTGGTTCTCTCCAGTGCACATCAGAAGCCACCATCAAGTATGAAATAAACAAAGAAGCTCACCACTGACTTACCAAGTGAAATTTACCACTCGCTTACCTGTTCTTCAGTGGCACCAAGGAAGGTCCTGTCTCCTGAGCCAACATCAGAAATGGCGTCTCCATCCAGAGAATGAACCTGCTCCAGCGTGTCATTCAGGATCTCGCCGGACCCTACAGGAAGCAGGTATTCTACAATTAACTACAGTTCACAGTCTTGGAAAAGAATGAGCTAGCTCTTCACCCACTAACTTGGAAAGATGTTTGTAATACCATCACACAGGATTAAGAGGGAAAACACCAAGTTGAAGAATAACATGGTGAGGGAGTAGTTTTTGGTGGTTTCCACCAGGGACTCTGGCCCCTCCTGCTTGCCTGGAATCCTGCTTTGCCACTTACCAGGAATACATCTGTGGCAAATGCCAGACAGCTCTTATACCTCAAGTTACTCATCCACAAATGGGGGATCATAATAATTTCTACCTCATAAGTCTGTTCTGAGGAGGCTGAATCTCAAGATTAAATAAATTAATGCAAGAAAGGCATTGAGGACAGCCCCTGGCATTTAATAAGCAAAAGATAATCACTGTCAATGCAGTTCTATACTTGTAAAATAGAAAAATATTATACGGGTATACATACTTGATCATTATACAGTTATTCTATAACATACTCAAATTCTATAATAATTATATAATATACAGTAAGTATGGACATGAGTATATATATTTATATACACACCGAGCTGAACCACAGTACTCAATATTGGTTTCTTGTGCTTGGTTCGGCAGCATATATAATAATATTGGTTTCTTGCAGGATAGGAGAGGAAGGAAACTATTACTTTTTGTTCATATGACTATGTGTTGACTGAACTGCTACCACACACACATATTTCTTTTGCAATTAAAAAAAAAACCAAATGGGAGGGGAAGGACAAAGGAAAGAAGGGAAAGGAAAAATTATGAGAAAAGGAAAAAATGGAAACAAAGTCTGTGTAAATAGGGAAGGGTGGAGGGGGCGAAGGGCGCACAGGCAATGGGGAAAAAATAAGAACCAAGATACGTCACGTACAGGTACAAGCACCCAGTGATAAATGTAAATGTACTGTATACCTAAAATGTACCAATAAAAGAATTTAAGGCAAGAAAACCCAAATGGAGTCCAAAAGCAAAGAAAAATAAATTATATTAAAATGAATGTATGCCCGTGCTGGCTGGACACTGGCCAGGCTTATCACATGCACGTCCTTTTCATCTTCCTGCTAGCCCATTCCTTCTTACAAGAAACCATCCTACCACCAGGCTTGAGGGGGTAAAGCCAGGACGGGAACCCCACGTTTTCAGCCTCTTTGCTATCAACCTCGGGGCTCTGTTGGCCACATTAACACCTTCTTAATTATTAACCCCATTCTGAAGAGGAGGAATAAGGTTCCACGGAGAGTGGCTGGGAGGGGTCTTGAAGCTAGATGGGCCTGTCTTCATGTCAGACGCTTTCCACAGACGCTGCCCTCACGCAGGCCCCACCGCCCAACAGTGTAGGAAGGAGGTCATGGTGAACGCTCGCTCCTTTGGAGCGCAAAACGCCGGCCCCTGCTGCACGCTTCCGTGCTCCCCGCTCTGACCACCAGGGGGTGCTGTGCAGCCAGCCGGCGGGCCCCCAGCCCTTAGTCCCGACCTTCCGCGGAGTGACGTGGTCGAGGGGTGTCAGGGAAGCCAGATACAAACACTGGGGCGCTTTCCTTAGCCAGGGGCAGCCTTGGGCGCAGGTTCTTTCTCCCCACATCCTGGCTGTCTACCCAACAATAAGAAAAGGAATATATCAGCCAGCTCCGTGGATTCCCTCTGGCGCAGTGTCCGCTGACGGATACAGAGTCAGGCTGATCCCAGCACAGGACAGCTGTGCTCTATTGGGACTACGAAAGACCCTCCCCTTCAGAGATCCCAAGTTTGCCCAGATCAGAATTTGGGATTCACAAACCACTGCTAGGATCTGACCAGACTGCAGGGACCACGGCCCATTCAGTCCTCTCACCCATTCCCCACTGGGGAACCAGGGCTTAGTTGTCAATACTCACGGCTCTTGGTTAAGGAACCTAAGGCTTTGGAATGCTCACTACCCCCCGCCCCACCCCCAGTTGCATGGGAAACAGGCGGCCAAGCAAGGCTTCCATCCAAACCATCCAGGTCTCCTGCCCAGCAGGCTTTCCAAAGCCACACTTTCACTCCTTGGTTTTATGGCAACTTTATTAAACTATTACTCATTTTTTTCTATTCTATCCTCTCTCTTACCCATAGACTTCCCAAGTTTAGCTCTTACTATAACATTCATTAACTGATGGTAACAGCAAAAAGAAAAATGGTAACTTTTTGGGGGGGGGGAATCGGGGATCGAATTTGGGTCCTTGCACTTGCGCAGCAGGCGCCGAAACCACTGAGCTAAATCCCTGGCCCCCAAAAATGATAACTATTGTAGAAGACTTATAAAATATAGAAGTCCAATAAAGAAAATAAAAACCTCTACCATAATCCTTCCACCCAGAGATAAATTCTCATAAGATTTTGTTGAATAGTACTTCTAATATGTAAATGTATCAAATATATACATTGCTTTACATAGCTATATAAAAACAGACATAAATAACATTCAAAATGAGGATCATAGCACACAGAGTTTTGAAATCGGCTTTTCTGCTGGAATAAACCATGAGCATGTCCCTGAGCCATTAATCCTCCACATCACCAGGATGTGGGCTGAGGGATGTATGAGTAACAGAGAGTTTGCTTAACTAATCCCTACTATGGGCATTTTCAGTTGTTACAACTAGGAAAGGTGCTGGTAGGAATGACTCTTTTCCTATATCTCAGAGCTCTGGGGTTGGCTGCAACTATGGTCGGAAACAGCCACCCTCTGAGAAAGGGTGGAAAATGCCCATGATGTCAGGCCTTGGGTACATGTTAAGCTTCTGCATGGGGAATTGTCCCTGATCTCTGGGCTTTACCAGTGTTCCTCTGCAGGGCTGAAGGAACACTAGGGAGGTGCCAGAGCCCTGGACAAGGAGACAGGATGATTGCTGTCCTCCCAGGGCCTGCCACCGACCTGCTGAGTGGCCAGAGAAGTCTCTGCCCATCTCTGGCCATCAGTTAGCTGGCCTGTTTCTCTGAGAGTCAGACCCGGCTTTGGAGTCAGGCAAAGGCTCTAGCCTGTGTGGTTGTGGGCACACCACTCAACCTTCCCAAATTTTGGTTTCTCCAACCTATAAAATAGTGGCTCCTAATGTCAACTAAGGTGTGCTGTCTGGATTGGAGAGGAAGTATGCAAACACTTGGCACACAGTAAGTATTCAATAAACAGCCATAGTTATTATAAGCCATTTTGTTAAACCCCAGAAGAGGAGGAGGCTGGGGGTTAAAAGCTGAGGTATCTGAGATCAGATGCCAGCTCTATTATTTCCAGGCTGTGTAGTCTTGGCTGGGTGACTTAACTTTTCTGTGATTCAATTTTCTCATCCTATGTATAAGATGAGGATAAGTACCATTCCTTCCTTGAAGGGGTGAGGGAAGATTAAATAAGAGGCTATGTGTTACATGCACTATCCAGGCTGAACATACAGTAATCACTCAACAAGAGGCCGCCACCCAGGACTGTGCATCAGGACTTGCCTTGCTCAGGGCTGTTGTGTTGGCTGATGCTTAAGTTGGTTTCTGGGGTCCCTTCTGGTACAGGTTCACCAGAAAGCTCCATGTCCTCCAGGGGAGGGGGAGAGGATGAGATTGGAGGTATGTTTATAGGTTCAACTTTTGCTTCTTTAGGCTGCAGGGAGGAAAAATAAGGCCCAAAGGATTAACTTGGCAGTAAAAGCAAAAAAAAAAAAAAAAAGACTTCATTGGAGAAATTAATGTACCCACAGAATGCCAAATAAACCCAGAAGAAAGCCCATACCACTTGCTGTGCCCCTGGACATCACCTCATCTCCCAGGCCAGAAACAGGTGCACACTAGAGGTAGTCTATCCCATTCCATTTAAAAGGAGACTGATCATCTCAGCCAAAGGCCTCCGAGCACACGGACCACATTTCTGTGATCTCAGAATCCCAGGCCAGCAAAGAGGAGGCGCTCAGTAAAGATCTGCAAGGTGAGGGAATGAATGAATGGATGAACATACTTATAAATGCCATGTAAATCCAATCCTACTTGATCCAGGCAGAAATCCTGATGCAGGTCCTAAACTTCCTGCAACCACTCCCAGACCCCAGGAGCAGCATGTGAGACCAGGGCTTGTCAGCACTCAAATGGTCTCATCATTTTCTAAACCTGAAGTTGCTAGGAACAGGGTGGGGATGGTTGAGTAGAAGGATCTAATGTTAGACTTGTGGTGTGAACAAGAAGCAAATCTTTGCCTTGTTAAGATGCTAAGATTTCAGGGTTAATTTGTTACCAGAGGATCATCTATCTATCCCTGTAATGGAAGGCTATGTCCTTCTTGTCAGAATCTAGAACACAGAGATTCTTAGAGCCCCATAATTTAGGACTTACTGGCTCAGTTCTTAGACTTGGTCAAATCCAGCTCTCTACTTATTAGCTAAGTTATGTGGGGGCAAGTCCTATAATCTCTCAGAGCTCTGGCTTCCTCCTCAGTATAATGGGAACAATAATAAATATTCCATCCTCAGCACACATTTATTTTTAGTGCTCAAATATTCCATATGCATTGTTGAAGAAAATTATAAATGGAGATGAACAGAAATAGAAAACAATCACTTTGAATATCAACACCTAGAGAAAATCACAGTTGAATGCACTGTGCTGTGAAGTCTCCAGGGTGGAGGTGGGTGGGATGGCAGCAGGAACCTGGCCTGGAAGAGTGAGCAGTTTCTGAAAACGGTGACAGGGAGGCTGGGTGAGGTCAGGGCGTGACACCCTGACCTTGGCAAAAGCTGAGGGTTGGAGGAAGAGGGTAACAGATGGAGAGGGGCTAGACCACTGGCGAGATAGGCTCGGAGAAAGGGAGGAGGGACAGTGCTGTGGGGGTAGGCTGCTGAGTGGCTTGGTCCACTGTGGACTCTGGACAGTCTACTCTGCAGCAATGAGCAAGGGGGGCTGAGGTCCAGGCCAGGAGGCCGGCGGGTGCACTGAAGAAGCCGCCCAGCAGGCAGGAACTAGTTGAGGCTGGGGGCAGAGCAGGCACCTCTCTGAGAGACTTCCCCATGCCTCCCAGCGGGGTGGGTGGGTAAGGACCCCTGCCCTAGAGGGTGCTTCTCCTCCCCTTGCACGGGGTCCAGGAGGAAGCCACTTCACCACAGTTACCCGAATGTGCCAAGAGAGCCTAGGAAAGCCTGCCCCTAGCCTTGAGTGAGGCCACTGGTGTCTGGAAACAGAGCTGCTTCCAAAAGCGCTTGGGTGTTGGAATAGCCAGATGGCAGAAGAGCTGCAGGAGCACAGGAGGACACGGTGGTGGTGAGCTGAGCGCTGTCACTCGGTGACATCACTGACTCCAGCCCAACAGTCAAAAAGCTTCTTTGGTGAGACCTAGCCAGGCGGCCACAGCCACCCTACCTGGCTCCTGCTCCAGGGTAGAACAAGCTTCGGTAAGCTAACCTTCCGTGGGGAGACTGAGGTGCCCAGGCATATGGCTGGTGGCTTTCAGGGTAACATGGATGGGGAACCATTGTTTCCTATGACAAAGTAAAAAAATGCAGAGTCTAGGACTCAAAACCATTGAAGTTATTAAAGGAGTGTGATTTGCTGAGCCCACGCTCCTCTTCACACAGTCAGGTGTACTGATCTCACACACATGTCCTGCAGCCCTACTCTGTGCTAAAACCTGGAGACAAGGGAATGAATAAAGAAGACAAGATGTCTGCCCTTGCATTGCCAGACCTCAAGGGAGCACAGACCAGACACAAATAATGGTGACTTAAAATGACGCATGGAATTACAGAGGTGAGAGCCAAGGCAGGAGCAGAGCGGGGCAGGGGTGGGCTCTGAGGACATGATCCCTACTGGATCCAGAGCGCAGGGAGGCATTTGCCAGGCAGGAGTAGGGGAGGGCAGCTGTAGGCAAATGAAACCACAGGAACCAAGGCATGGATACCAGGGACAAGGCCCTAGCTGGGGTGCCTGGCAAACTGAAGATTCAGGGGTGCTCGGAGAGGCATCCTGGCTTTGCAGTGTAATCATCTGCAGGGTTTCTTTAATACAGATTCTTGGACCTCACCCCAGACCTACTGAATATTCAGATCACCAGCCCAGGCAAGAATCATTGCTTAAAGATAGCTCCCCGAGCCCCTGGGCATAGGCAACTCAGAAGCACGACCAGGGCTGAGACCCATTCTAATTCTACATAAGATAGAACTTTCCAAAAATGCAAAGAGGCCCTGGCCCTGAATGGCAAAGAGAGCAAGAAAGGGCTGGTTTTTAACTCCCAACCCTATAGAAAGTCTCTGGTTCAGTTTACTGGTTATAGCTCAAGTCTTGGAGGGTCACAGGCAGAAAATGCTCAGGATGGGGAAGTGAGATTCAACCCCATAAAGAAGCCAGACAAAGCAGGGAGGGGACTGTCTGAGATGAAGAGGGAAATTCCCCATCCTGGGTGGGTGGCTGCCAAAGACAGCCATGAAGCCCTTCCAAGAGATGATAGAGGGGAAGTTCCCAGATCAAGTGGCATGACTGATAGCACACTTGATCTGGAGCCCTGGACCTGGCTCTGCCACCTTTGGGCTGGAAGGCCAGGATCCAAGTACTCATTGCTCTTCCCCTCTGGAAGTAGGTGGCAAGAGGGGGCTCACGAGGAAAGAGGCATCGGCACTGGTCCCTGTGCTGGGTCCAGCCCTGAGCTTTGCTTAATCCTCACACAAGCTGATCACTCGGTAGTCACCACAGCAAGAGCAGCTGCCCAAAGCTGCTGGACCAGGCGCCACCCAAATGTTTTGCCTGAGTCCGTTCATCTGCCTCTCATGCTAACCCCGTGAAGAAGGTACGCTCCACTGTAACAGGGGAGGAAGCTGAGACACAGAGAAGTTGTCACTTGCGGAAGGTCAACAGCTAGTGAGTGGCAGAGCTGGGACCCACACGCGTGGGACTCTGATCTGCACCAGGTGTCTTAGAAACCACTCAGAAGAGTGGGGCTTGGGAATCGGAGAAGAAAGGAAAAAACTGTGTAGGGTACCCCAGAAGGCCCCCAAGCGATTAATTACCTCTGGTGTGCACCTCTTTCGCCCTGGGAGACGAGGTGATGGCCAGGGACAGAGCACGTGGTGTGGGCTTTCTTCTGGGTTTATTTAGCATTTTATGGATGAATTAATTTCTCCAATGAAGTCACCCATCAGATCACCCATTCCCTTTTCTTTTTTACTTCTTCAGGGTGTCTAAGGGTTCAATGCGTACCCCTTCTGGTTGACATCTGCTCCAAATCTATCTTGTGAGGGGAGCCACTTGAGGAGCCGGCCAGGCCGGGCTTGAGTCCTGACTCTGCCACCATGTGACTGGCAGAACCACCTGACCCTGCTGGGCACCCCCTCCACATCTGTACAGTGGGGCTGAGGCCACCCCCTTTGCAGGGGCCTTGGAAGGGATGAGAAATCACACAGACAAAAATGCCATCCAACTGTGGGTACGGGAAAACGCCAACTCGCTTCCTTCCCATTCTGTTTTTCCACCCTGTCCTATGCCGTCTGGCTCCAATGTCCTTTCCCAAGCTCCACGGCCTCATCTCACCCCTGTGACCATCTCAGGCTCTCCAACTGCTTTCCTTTCCTGTCCCTCTCTGGAACCAACAGGGGTTACTGGCATCACTCTGTGGGCGAGCCTCCCTCCAAGTTTTAGACCCGTGCACTGGGGGTAGCATCAGATTTGGAGCCCCAAGAACTACTCTGCACCCTGCTGCTGATGGGGCAGGCCAGAGCTGATGGGCACATGGGATCGCAGCATTGCCCAGAACAGCCACCACCCCCAGTCACCAGGCCAGTGGGTCCTCTGATCTCCCCCATCTCAGGCAAGAGTTGGCCACAGTCCTGAGAATGGACTTCCACAAAACCACTAGACTCTTGACCATGGGTGGACATCAAGAGACCCAGGCTTCAGCACCAGCTCTGTCCATGGACCCTAGGGCTGTCTCTTCCTCTCTCTGGGGCTCAGTGTGCCCATCTGTACCAAAGGCACTTTCTACACACTTCTGTACAGAAAGAGGTGACCATAAGTCCTTCCACCACCAGCAGCCAATAATTACTCTGCCACACCCATGTCCCTGTCACCCATGATCTACAAGTTACAGCTTGTGCCTTCTCTCTCATCTGCCTGCTTTCTTTTATCAGAGGTGAGTTCAGAGTGAGCCAGGGCATCCCAGGGGATAGCTGCTGCTCTCTGTTGCTCCTATTAAAAACGGGGCTCCTCACTGACCCCACAGTCTGACTTGGAGCTTTTGAAATCACTTCCTCCTCTTGGCCACAGGGTGCATTCCCAGGAGGTAGGTGCCCAAGCTCAGAAAGGAGGGCTGCCTTTCCTGGGGGACCCTGGTGTAATGGCCAGCTTTATGGGTAGGAGCTCCAACTTTGCCTTTGTAGCTGGAGCCCCAAGGAAATGTAACAATGCCCTTCGTCTGGGGCCACTTCCTTTGTCTCAGGCACTGGGCTGAGACTCATCCCTACTTAACTTCATCTAACTCTCCAGCAACCCTATGAGATAGGTCTATTATTATTACCATTCTGTAGAAGAAAAGCTGAAGTTCAGAGAGGTTAAGTTATCCAAGGCCAAAGAGCTAGAAAGCCAAGAAGTGTAACATGTGCCTTTGCATAGTGCTCTTGTGGCTGCGTGGACAGGGTCCTGAGGTAAATGGTACACCAGCTCACCCAGGGAGTTTGCAAATGCCCACTGGCCTGGACCCGCTTAACCTCCCCAGAAAACCCAATCAGTAGGTTCACATCGGAACACAGAAACTTCAGACCTGGGGCCATGGGCACCAGCCCTGAACAGCTGACCCAGCCTGTACTCACCAGAGCTTGAGTGTAGGTGATGGCCTCTAAGGTCTCAGCGACAGTGTCAGTCTCCTGAAGTCCGCTGCCCTCTCCTGATGCCTGTGCAAAGACAAACCATGCCCCGTGCCGGGCAGGCAGAGCAGGTTACAGAGGGACTGAGGCAACCGGGACCTCAAGGAACCTGCAGGGTGACTCCCACAGAGGAACTTGTGCATGCGTGTGTATGTGCCTCTGTGTGTGCGTGCCTCTATGTGTGTGTGTGTGTGTGTCAGAGATAGGGTGGAGTTGAGGAGACAGCATTTGTGCAGTGTACCTGGTTGGTTATTCTTTTTGTTTACTTCCCCCATTTTATTACTCAAACAAAAATCGATCATTTTACATTCTGATGTAACAACTTCCCTTTTGTCCAGGTTCCCGTCACTTCCAACCTTTGCAAGGCTGTCACTGGAATCCACTTTAGGAGCCATTACATCCCAAGTAGACATCCTGCTGTTACCTAATCATTATCACTAGCCCCCTAGATGCAACCAAGTCACCGGCATGCTGTGAGTTTTGCAACCAGTCCCTTGTTCTTGGGCTCCTGAGTTATTTCTACTTCTTCAATACTAATGGCAGCGTAGCAATGAATGACTGCAAGCGCCCCTTCAGCAAGTTTCCTGCAAATGCCAGGCCAGGTCACTGACTCAAGGAGCACAGACGTTCCTACAGAACCAAACTTACCTCTGGGGGAATTGACTGCTTTTTAAAATAATACTAAATTAATGGAATCAACCAAGGATTTGTTTTGGGGTTGACACCACCCAAAGAACAACGGAAATGCCACCCCCTGCTAGATTCTGACTTTGGCATCATGCTCTCCTGTCTGCCTGGAAGGCCTTCCAGACAGGACTTGCTTACAGCTCCTCCTTCCTCTTCCTGCTCCCTGGCCTGCTGAGCTGGGTCTGAGGACCTCCTGGAGTTTCAGTCCTTCAGCTCTGTCCCTGCAATTGGGTGTGTGCCAGCAGCTAGAGGAAGGGGGCAGTTCCAGCTTATCCCTTTATCTCCACAACCACCCAGCGCTGTCACCCACCAGCCACTCAGTAAATCCTAGTGGGAAGGAAGGAGGGAGGGAGCCATTTTTTGCAGCCCACCCCTCCCCTAGTTTAGGCACTGATTCATTTGCCAGGCATAAAACTAACCTAAATTTAGTTTCGTTTTTATAGGAATTTACACGCAGAATAGCTTAGAGTTCTAACTCTGATTTTAGAATTCTGACACCCTTCTTGGCAGGAATGCTGGAAATGAGGCCATTGACTGCCTCAGAAGAGCCTAACACCTTATAAGACACACAACCCCTACACCCAAAAGAGGGCTGAAGTTCTTTAAAAAAGTGAAAAAGAGCCAAAGGCCCAAAATAGGCATTGAGGCAGCACTGGCCAAGATGAGAGGGTTGACAGACTCCATGACGTTGGGGAGGAAGAACTGCTGGGCACCCAGCCCTTCCCTGGCTGGTGGCTGCTGGGGCTGCACAGCCACTGTGGAGGGGCAGGGAGCTCACCGACAACTCCTGGGCTTCACACAGCTCCTCTGGAACCCTGGGGTCAGCGTGGATGGTCAGCTGCTGTATGGACCCCTGGGAAAAGCAGAAGGAAGAGGAGCCCTGGGTTACATGTCTGCAGTGCACATGCCGGGGGACAAAGGACCATTTGCGTGACAGAGAACAAGTGAAAGGACAGGCGGGAGACTGTGCTGCCTGCCACTGTGACAGGAGAGCCGCTCCACCTCTTGGCCCACTCCCTGTTCTGGGGAGTCTCCGTGGAACACTATGATAGGAGCCCCCTTAGCCAGAAAGGCCCTTGCAGAGCTTTGTGCGTGTTGCCACAGCAGCCTCCTGACCGTCCCCAGGCCCCACCTGGTCAGTAGCTCGCGCTGAAATGCACGGCTCCCTCTCTTAGAAAGTGAGCATCTTGTCCCAAGGAGAGCTGTGGCAGCCACTCCCACCAATTCTCTTGATACCAAAGGTAGCAGGTAAAATTACCACTGGACTCGAAGTCCTAAACATGCTCCAGCACCTTCCCCTGCTCCACAAATAAACACATTCCATCCCACTGAGCTGCCTGGTTCACCCATGAAGACTGATGAGTAAATACATGTGCCGACTAATGAACACCTACGGTGACTTAGCCACTTTCTGTAGAACAGCCTATTCATAAAATTCATTCAGATAATGAATCAGCTTTCTGATGCTTTGTTGCAGGCACATTGTTTAAAAGAAGAGAGAAAAGCTATCTCTCACCCCAGTATTCTAGATTTGTCTACCTTAGTGGAAAGTACTTCAGTGCAATGGTCACCCATATCCAAAGAGAAAATCATTTAAGGACGTAATTAACCTTACTTTTTCTAAATCACAGCCTAAAATGTACAGTATTTTCACATGTCTCACTTGACTCTGTGAGTCCATAGGGTAAGTTTTCTTATCTTTATGTTCAGATGAGAAAACAGAGCGTATCAGAGAATCCAGGACTGTCTAAAATCAGCAGGCTAAGTTGAAAATGGAGCGCTGGAATCAAAGTGGTTTGAATTCCAGGCACAGTGTTTGTCCCACTATAACACACATGCTCTTTTAAGGATATCAGAATAAAATAATAACAATCATAATCGCTGGTATTTAGTGGACTGGGACTCCATGTCCATTGGCTTCCCTGATCTGCTGGGAGTGGACTTGAACTCACAGTGAATTTGTCCAGCCCTGTGGCACCTGCGCTGCCCACGAAGATTCCTGTGCTGGGCTCGAAAGTCAAAGGCTGGGAGGACCGCTGGAAGAGGACATGGCTGTGCTCCTCGCAGTCCATGAGCAGGGTCACTTCCTCCCCCTGGATGATCACAGCAAAGTGGTTCCACCTGTTGGTCATCACAGGCACCGAGAAAACAGCAGCTTCGTGGGACAGGTGGGAGCCAGGCTCCGTGTAGTAAAGGATGACCCGCTGGTGGCCATCCTGCACTCCCGAGAGCCGCAGGCCTAGGTAAATGACCTTCTGGAAGGCGTCAGTAACGGCAAAAAGCACCCCGCCTCGGGTGCTGCTGGGCTTGGCCATGACACTGACGGCAAAGTCCCTGAAGAAGGCAGGTGGGATGAGGGTCCTGGCTGGGCGACCTATGTTGGCACCAGGTCCGAAGCTGTAAGCTGGGAAGCCATTATAGCCTGTGACAAAGGACACGGAGGAGGGCAGTGGGACACCGATGAGCTGTGTGAGGTCCAGATGGCCTTGGGAGGCTGAGTCTGCAGGGAGGGAGAGAGGACATGCTTCAGACATCGAGGCTACACAGCATCTAAACGGAGACAGTCATAAGGGAAACGGGATCTCTCAGGAACCCACTGAAACTGCAGTTTCTAAATTGCTGTTTTCAAACTTTTTTGGCGAAAAAATCCAATGTGAAACTCATTTACATTGCAACGCAATACGCACGTGTGTAGATAAATATGTATCTGTAACACTGAAACAAATGTGTCATAAAACACCATATTGACTTTTAATATTCAGCACACCCTCAGATATTTTCGCTTGCATTTAATTATCATCTTTCTCTTTCATTAAACACATTGGAATGACCTACTGAATTGATTTCATTACCCACTAATGGATCATGATCCACAGTTTGGGAACGTTTACAAATCATTCCTGGAATAATCCTAGAATATATAATGTTCCCCTATTAACTTGCAGATTTCTTTCCCTCCTATAAAACCAGATAGGTTTGTTTTGGTTTGTTTTTAATGAGGTTTACTGTCTAAGTGCCTCAGAGTGTGGGGCAAAAAAATTTGCAGGGACAAAGTGAAATGTTCTCAGACCTCAGGAAAACTGAAATTTGCATCACTGTCAAAACCCTTCATCATCACTGTCCTCCTCCTCCTCCTCCCCCTCCCCTCCCCCCCCCTTCATCATCCTGGGCACTTTCCAAGCTTTTCACATACTTTAGCTCACCGAGTCCTCTCAACAGCCCTATGAGGTTAGGTACTATTGTTCCTGTTTTTACTTTGGAGAAAAGCGAGGCTTAGAGATGTTAACAAAGTAAGGTCCATGCAGGCTTCAGACCACAGCCTCTGCCCCCAGAGTCTGTACTCCTGACTGCCACTCCTGTGCGGGAGAACCAGTAGAGCCCCATTACAGTGGCCTGACAAGGACCCTAGACAGCATCCCCAGAAAAAGGCTGCAGGCTAGCTGCTAGTGATGCACACACACTGCTGAGCTGATGTCCAGGGTACCAGCAGTGGGACAGAAAGGTGAGTCGCAGGAAAGACCAGACAAGTCCTGCGCAGGCAGGGCAATGGACACACACACAATTACCATGAAACATTTTGGTCATACAAAATAGTATAAAGGATAATATGAGGCACTTGAAATGGTGAAAACGGCAAATTTGATGTGTATTTTATCACAATCAATAACACACATAGCCCACAGGGTTGCTGTGAGGATTAGATGAGATAATATGAGGCACTAAGACCTGGAAATGCTCAGAAAATGTTGGTTATTATTACCCTCATTTTTGTCCTCCTCCTCCTCATCATCGTGAGAGTTTCAGGTTTAGAAAGGAATCTCAGATCACCTGACTTGACCTCAACCTGAGAGGTCCAGTGTGGTAGCTCCTGGCCACCTATGGCTACCAGGCCCTTGAAATGTGGGTCTTCCTGAGTGAGATGCGTCATGAGTGTAAAATGAAAACTGGGCTTTCAAAGACTTAATTGGGAAAAAGGAACGTGAAACACCCCAGTAATGATTTTTATATCAATTACATACATGTTGAAATGACTGGAAAATATTGGGCTAAATATTATTAAAATATTTGAAAAAATAATATGAGAAACAAAAATGTGCCCCCACCCCACTTAAGAAAGAAAATACCCATCAGCCCACACTCTGAACTCTCTCCAGTCTGTCTGTCCCTCTGCCCACACTCCATGTGGCCACTCTTGGGACCTGGCACTTATCCTTCCGATACATTTGATTTTATGTTTACTAAACAACTCTGTGTCTCTAAAAGAATGAAAAACCATTGTGCATGTTTCTAAACCTCAGAAACATTGGTGTGATGCATGTATTCTTCTGGCTCTTGTTTTGTGGTTTTGTTTCACTCAAGATTGTTTTTTTAAAAATTTCTTTGTTAACACACATGATTCTAGGCTTTTACTTTCATAATAGTACTCTATGGCATAAGAATGCCACAATGGGTTGATTCACTTTTCTGGTGATGGACAGTGAGGTTTCCATCACTGTTATCAACAGAATTTCTATGAACTTCCTTATCTTCATCTTACTTGTGCAGGTAATCATAGCACCTTGTGCTTACCTTATGCAGGTAATCCCACTGCCTAGAGGTAGATTATCTAACAGATGATACGGGATGTGTGCACCTGCCACTGCACTGAATGCTACTAGACTGCTCTCCAAAGCAACTGGGCCATCGCACACACCCATTAGTAGCATATTCTTGCCAGCATTTGGGGGACACAGAGAGGTATCATTTGGGAGAGGTCGGGGGAAGGGTTTGACTACAGTGATAATGTTCAGTTTTTAAACTATGTGACATTCCAAAGAAGCATTTATTGTACTACTCCTTATAACAAATTTCATGGAAAATATTTCAAAACAACTGAAAACAATTACTCCATCCTCCATTAAAAAGCACATGTGTACACGTTGGTGCCCTGCTTAGAAGCCTTCTATGGCTATCCAGGATCCCTGGGGTCAGGGATGACACTGCAGCTACCACCCGGCTTGAGAGGCCCTTTATGATCTGGAGCTGTCACAGTCCTTACCCCCAACACGCCTGACACGGTCCCTGGCTGGCCCCATGCTGCCTCCGTCTTCCCACCTTACTAGGAATGCTTTCCCTTCTGGTGTCCCCCTACCCCATCCCAGGTATTTTGCCTGAATAACTCCTGCTAATCATTCAAGACTCAGTCCAAACCTTACCACCCCGGAAGTCCTTTGTTCCACCTCCCATTCCCATCCCCTCTGGCCCTTGGGGCTGCATGAGAAGCTCCCTGGATGCACCCCGGAGTTCTCCATCACAGCCCTCAGCACGTCCAATGTCACTACTGGGCCACTCATTTCTCTCTCCATTGGACAGTGAGAGCAAGGTTCCATAATTCGTCTCTGCGTCCCCAGTATCCACCCCAGTGCTGATGAATGAATGACTGAGGAACAAACTGATGCATGATGGATGGATGGATGGATGGATGGATATATAATTTTTTTTCTTTGGTACCGGGGATCCAACTCAGGACCTTGCACTTTCGAGGCAGGCACCAGAACCACTGAGCTAAATCCCTGGCCCTGTATATATAAATTTAAAAATCCAATTCCCTCATTTTACAAAACACCAACTAAAGTTAGTAGAGGGAGTGTCTGTTGACTCCAGAGCTCAAATTTGATTTTCAATTGAGTGGAAATTGCATTAAAATAGAAATTAATTTGAAGTAATTTGGGTTTAACACTCAAATCCCAGAAAATATTTAAGTTAAAAGACTTATAAATCTGGTTAATCTGACTACATGGAAACAAAGTTCTGCCTAGCAAAATTTTAAAAAGATAATTCCAATAATGTCAAATAAAAACCAAAAGCTGACAAAAAAAAAAAATATATATATATATATATCTCAGACAACAAAATCATTTCCCTAATATGCAAAGCAAATGCATAAGCAAGAAAGCAACAACTCAACAGAAAAATGGGCAAAGAACTGGAAATTCTATCCACAGAAATAAAAACAGCTCATACATATATGAAAAAGATTTGACCCTACTCTTAATGAGAAAAATACAAGTTAAGATTACAAAGAAATGATTATTTTCCCTGTAAGACTGGCAAAGATCAGAATGTGGGATAATATGCTATGTTTGCAAGAGATCAAGACAACACGAAGCCCTCTCATGTACTGCTAGTGGGAGCATAAACTGGTATCACATTGTGGGAGGCAATCTGATATTTATCAAAATTCAAATGCACATGTGCTCTTTGATCCCACTGTTATATTTCCATGATTTTGAAATAAAGTTACCCAAGTGAAATATAGAGCATCATACTAGAATACTCATTGCAGCATTGTTTAGAATCTACCTAAATGCTCATCCTTGGGAATGATTAAGTAATAAATTATAACATATTAATTCAATGAAACACAATGCAGCCTTCAAAAGATGTGGTTCTTCACAAACTAATATGAAGGTTTAAGCAAGATATATTAAATAAAAACAAATCCCAGCACTTAGGGAGGCTGAAGCAGGAGGATGTAAGTTTGAGTCCCACCAGGGCAACTTAGTGAGACCCTGTTTCAAAAAGTAAAAAATAGGAAGGGCTGGGGATGAAGCGCAGTGGTAGAGCACCCCTGAGTTTGGTCCTCAGTACTACTGCTACTACAAAAAAGGTAAAAACACACACACAAAAAACAAAGTACAGAATAAACTGCTATCAGTTGGAAACATATATTAGTGTATTAAATGCATAAATATGAAAAATATATTTAAATATACAGTCATGCACTGTATAACCTTTGGGCAGTGGCTAATACATAGGTGAGAATGGCCCCGTAAGAGTATGCTGCTTAGTGACAAGACAGCTAACTCGGTTTAAGCACACTCTCTGATGTTCCCACCATGATGAAATCAACTAGGGATGCACTTCTCAGAACACATTTCGTCATTAATCGATGCATCACAATTGGAATAGATTAGAATATCTCTAGAAGAATGCACAAGAGACTGGGGAAGGGAGCTAGTGGCTGGGGTATCACTGGATACCGTCTTGTACTTTTTAAATATTACACCATGCACACGGCATAAAAAATAAAGACACTGCATACTTTAAGACATCGACTCTTTGTATCTGCTCCTAGCAATTTAAATTCCTACTCATCTTGCTTTTCCTCACTCAAAAATTACACATCTTGTGTAAAAGAAAGCATAAAAAGGGAAAAGAAAAAGCAAACATCCCATTGAGAATTCTTTTCTCCCCTCCATAGTTTAAAGATAAAAACAAAACCAAGCCACAAATGTCCTGCTGAGGGTGCTGCTCTTCCCTTTCTTTAATTCAGTGAATAGTTTTTCTGCCAGCTCCTCTCTGTCCTACTGAGGATGGGAAGGGAAGCCACTTTCTGGCAGGATACTCTGGGTTTGGGAGAATTCCTGCTTCCACCACAGCAGGTGGGCCAGAAGCTCACATCCAGTGGCTTGCTCTCAAGTGGTGTCCCTGAGAGTTCAAGGGTCAGGTTGGAGTTCT